ACAAAGACTTAGGTGAACTACTATAGGTAGTTCACTTCGGATCACAGAGTGAGGAAGAAAGGAGAATGAGAGGGAAGGGGGAAAAGCATTAGAAGTCACCACTGTGGTCACTGGGTACTTGATCCCACAGGACCTCCTGAAGAGTGTTCAGAACACTTCCTAGAATTGCTTTCCACAATTATCCACCAGAAAGACAGGGCAGTGCAGTATTTACCCATCAGATTCCATCCCCTACTGGCTAAGGATTGCCCCTGCAGTGCTAATTCCTCCTCATTGTGTTTTGGAAAGAGCAGGCTTGTCTACACAGAGAATTTCCAGTGGCAAAAATTCTACAAAGGGAGCATGGGATTGAGGTGAGACACTGTCACCATGAGGTGGGTCTGAACATGCACAGAGCTGCCCACTGCAGCTGCAATCAGAATGCATCAAGAAAATATGACACTGGACACACCAGGGTTTTCACAATTTTTATGAAAGGTCTTAGATCCATCAGCTTCCCTTTTTTTTCTGTGGCAACTGCAGAACTGAGCTAATTTACCATCATACGTTGAACCAGTCTCTCAATTTTTGAAACTCACTTCTCCCTGAACATCTTTTTTTTTTTTTTTTTTTTTGAGATGGAATTTCACTCTTGCTGCCCAGGCTGGAGTGCAGTGGCATGATCTCACCTCACCACAACCTCCGCTCCCAGGTTCAAGTGATTCTCCTGCCTCAGCCTCCTGAGTAGCTGGGATTACAGGCACCTGCCACCACACCTGGCTAATTTTGTATTTTTAGTAGAGATGAGAGTTTCTCCATGTTGGTCAGGCTGGTCTCAAACTACCCACCTCAAGTTATCCGCCTGCCTCAGCCTCCCAAAGTGCTGGGATTACAGGCGTAAGCCACCAGGCCCAGCCTGAACTTCTTTTCCTACCTCTGGCTGCTGTTTCTAAATGAGCTCTTCTTCCATTTCCTGCTCTTTAAATGCAAGGGGTCCTCAAGTGTGCATCCATTCTGTCTTTTTCCTTTAACCACACCATCTCACTAAACTACCTCATTTTTTTCTTATATCTCCATTACCATGTTTAAGAGATGATCCTCCAATCTTTATTACCAGACCAGATCTCTCTTTGCTTCCTAATTCAAACTCATCACCGCATACTAAGTCTCCACATAGATGTAATTGTAGAGTAGATAATCAAATTCTAACATATTAAAAAATCCATCTCAACATTTTTCTACATCTCCATGGTCCCTATTTCAATTAATGGCATCTTCAACTAACTTCTTCCAAGCTAGAAACTCCGGCAACATCTTTTACTTTACCAACTCACTCCTTTTATCACTTGGAAAATTTGGTTGATCAGATCTCATCTATTACGTCTACCATCTCCTTCCTATTTTTACATGGATGAACCCTTACAATACCTTGTCTGAACTTACACAAAAGCACCAAAAATGGTTTCCTGCTCCTAGTTTCTCCCCTTGCCAAACAAACTTTGTGTTACACCAGCACAGAGTTAAGAGGTTTTACAAGGTGTGTTATGAAAGCTTCTGTCCTTCCTCCCAAACTCCCAATTTCCTGTTCCACAAAGGCAACCTCTTTCAACACTTTTGAAAATATTTGGGGAAAAAATTGTATCTGTACTGAACATGTGCAGGTTTTTTTTCTTGTCATTATTCCCTAAACAACAAAGTATAACAATTATTTACATAGCATTTATGTTGTATTATGTATTATAGAAATCTAGAGATGATTTAAAGTATCTTAGAGAGTGATGCCTAGGTTATATGCAAATACCACACCATTTTACATTAGGGACTTGAGCATCCTCAGGTTTTGGTACCCTTGGGAGGTCCTGGAACAAAGCCTCCAAGGGATGACTTTTGATTCCTGGCTTCTTTCATTGTTGGCTTAGGATTCAGTTTTCTTAGGTCAGTCACGCCAGAGTTAACCTATTTTATGGTTACTTTCTAATTCTGAAAATGCTATTGTTGTTCTTTCCTCTCCTAATTTATCCTTTTGGGCATATGCTTTGGAAAATCCCTTTATTGTCATTTTAGTGGAATTTGAGGAGGGAATGTTGCTAACAATTCATGTGTTCAACTCACAAATTCCAGAAGTCTGTCAAACTTTGGAAGCAGGTATCATCTAAGTCTATTTCCCTTTCTTCTTCTTTAAACTTTTATTTTAGGGTCAGGGATACATGTGCAGGTTTGTTATACAGGTAAAACTCATGTCATGGGGGTTTGTTGTACAGAGTAAACAGAAAACCTACAGAATGAGAGAAAATATTTGCAAACTATGCACATAACAAAGGTCTAATATCCCAGTATCTATAAGGAACTTAAACAAATTTATAAGAAAAAAGCAGGCCAAGCACTGTGGCTCACACCTATAATCCCAGCACTTTGGGAGGCCAAGGTAGGTGGATCACAAGGTCAGGAGATCGAGACCATTCTAACATGGCGAAACCCTGTCTCTACTAAAAATACCAAAAGTTAGCTGGCCTGGTGGCACACATAGTCCCAGCTACTTGGGAGGCTGAGGCAGAAGAATCGCTTTAACTCAGAATGCCGAGGTTTCAGTGAGCTGAGATCACACCACTGAACTCCAGCCTGGGTGACAGAGTGAGACTCTGTCTCAAAAAAAAGAAAGAAAGAAAGAAAAAAATAACCCCATTAAAAAGTACACAAAGGACATAAACAGACAATTTTCAAAAGAAGACTTCTGTGGCCAAAAAGCATATGAAAAAAAGCTCAATCTCACTGATTAGTGAAATACAAATAAAAACCACAGTGAGATACCATCTCACACCAGTCAGAATGACTATTATTAAAAAGTTTTTTTTAAAAAAAAGGAGATTTATTTTTATCTCTTTCTCGACTCCATCCCAACTGGGTCCCAATTTTCTAGGCTTTTCTGTGTCTTCACTGATTAAATTTCATTTTAGAAAAGGATTTAACAAATGTATTCCCCTTAAGGTCTAATAAATGACAGAGTTTAATGTGTTATATCTCCTAAGAGTATTTTCATTTTAACAAGGACTAAGTTTCTTATTTGGCTTAAGCCAAAAGGATAAAGATATTAAATTCTAACTGAGAAATTTCAGGTACTCATACCTAAGTGTTTTGCAGGCCAGGGGAATGTTTTCTTGTGTTTTCTCAAATCACAGGCTTTGGGGGTAGGTCCAACTGTGCCCATGTATTAGGCGAATTGATGATGTCGGTGTCACAGCAGGCATTCTAGGATGACAGTCAGAAATAGGAATATCTACTCAGTTACAATTCTAGTCCAACTAGTATGTCTTGAAACCTAGAGAGCAGGTAGATGAATCACCATCCTAAATACTGGTATTAATCTAGAGCAAAACATATATTTTATTGTGTTTATAATAAGTACACAAAGATAGACATCATCAAATACACACAACTCTAAGTAAGACCTCCTCATACAATTAGTGGTTGTAAGGCATTATGGAAATACAAAATGCCATATAAATGCATAATTAGATCACAAAAATAATTAGGGTTAATAACATGACTAACCATCTTAAACTGTGTGCGAATATAATAATAATAAGCCACACTACGTGCTAGTGGTTGAAGCAGACACAATTAGCCAGAATTTGGTAAGGGGCACGAAACAGCAGAGGATGCCTCCAGCATTCCAGGATAGTACACAGAAAATTCAGGTCATATTCATCTGCCATGGAGCACTGCAGGGATATAAACCACAAAAACGGGAAGACAAGAAGCCCAGTTAAGAGCTCCTCCTTAATTCTTGATTTCTGGACCTATTATTTTGCTAAATACCACTACCACAACTCAGAACAATTACAAGTGCCTGTGTATCTCTTACTAGGGACTAGGCACTGTTGAAGTATTTTACATGTATCAATTCCCACAAAACCTCAGAAGGCAGGTACTGTTCTCCCCTTTTTACACATAAGCAAATTAAAACACAAAGAAGTTAAATAACTTTCCACCATGGGTGGCAGTGCTGGGACTTAGGCTACCCAGGCCCAGAGCCTGGCCAGTTACCACCACTCCATATGGCAGCTACATTTTCTGCCTATTTTGTTCCACAAATAAATTACAGATATATATACATATATATACATACACACACACACACACACACACACACACATCTATATATCTAAATATGAGTGTGTATAAGTGTATATATACACATACATATATATCTATAATGTGTGTGTATAAGTATATAGATATGTACACATACATATATACGTGTGTGTGTGTGTGTGTGTGTATTTGTTTTTTTTGAGACGGAGTTTCACTCTTGTCACCCAGGCTGGAGCACAATGGCACAACATCGGCTCACTGCAACCTCCACCTCCTGGGTTCAAAGATTCTCCTGTCTCAGCCTCCCAAGGAGCTGGGATTACAAGCATGCACCACTGCACCTGGCTAATTTTTTTTTTTTTTTTGTATTTTTAGTAGAGATGGGGGTTTCACCATGTTGACCAGGCTGGTCTCGAACTCCTGGCCTCAAGTGATTCACCCGCCTCGGCCTCCCAAAGTGCTGGGATTATAGGCGTGAGCCAACGTGCCCAGTCCAGATCTCTATTTTCATCACTGTTTGTGCAAAACTCACTCCCCACCTTATCTTAATGATCCTTTTGGTAAAACGCCAATACCAGCATAAAACAAATTTCTTCAGGATACAAATATTTTCATAATTTGTATTAACCTAAACTTTATCAGCCCGAATTGCTTCTTCAAGGCTTGACTAATACACTGTTGGGTAGTATTTTAAGCAGCCTCCACCCAAGTGCTTACCTTGGACCTCTATTTATCTGCCTTAGGAATTTGGTAGATTTCTTTCAGATTCTTTCCCTCACTAATGTTTTCCAGCATCATCTGATAACTGAATAGAAAATGCTGTACTGAATCACTACACCTATCAACCAAGTCACAAATACATTTACATATTATAAATATATATAAATAAATATTAGAATGGTTTATTTGAACTGAGCCAACTGTCTTACCATGTGCTCATGGAGGACTTCCTGTTTTCATGTTGAATAAATAATAATATATTTTACGGTTAGCAAAGCCATTTCACCTGCAGTCGTTGATTTGTTCTAATTCCGAGCATTTAAATCCATCGCCCGTGTTTGCTTAAGGAACGCTGTGTCTTCTTACGAGTCTTCCAAATTGGTCCTTACTACACGCATATATGGGCGGCTGCGTGTCCCTACAGTCAGCCTGTTAACTTCCACTGGAGAAACAAAAGTCTTAAGAACCTCTGAGCTGTCAAAATGTCAGAAAGCGGTGTCCCAGGCGCCCTCTCCCAGAGAAAGCCAGGAGAGGGCGGTGACTGCCCCCAGGCCGCCTCCTGCCCCGGGCGAGGCCGAGGCCTTCGCGCGCCCCCCGCCCCCGCGGCGTCTGGCTGCCTCGCTGCTGGGCAGGCCTGGCCGGGCCTCCCCGGGTCGCGGCGGCGCCCCCTGCCGGCCGCGGCGGGCAGAGCGGGCGGAAGGAACCCGAGCCGGGCTGCCACCGTGTCCCAACCCGAGCTGCCGCCGGAGCTTCCCGGGGCCTCGAGTCCGCACCGAACGCCCTCCTCGCCGCCCGCCGCGTCCCGGCGCCCTCCGGAGCCGCCCGGCCGCCCGCGCACACCTGAAGCGGCAGGGCCGGGCCCTGTCTCGGTCCTCAGCTCGTCCTCCCCGCCCCGCACCGGCCTTCACTCTGGAGCGGCCCCGGCAGCCGCAGCAGGGGCGGCGGCGGCGGATCGAGGAGCTCTCCAGGTCGTCCCGGGAGAGGCTGCTGCAGTCCCGGGACAGGATGTTCTCCAAGTTCACCTCCATCCTGCAGCACGCCGTGGAGGCGGTAAGGCCACGGGCTGCGGGCGCACGGCAGGCCGTGGATGGCGGCGGCCTACGCTCCTCGCCGGTCTCGGAGACAGCCGGGCGGCCTCAGCCCGGCCCTCGGCGGCTCTGGCCCCGGGTGGGGTGAGGCCCCAGGCGGGCGCCCTGGGTGGCCGCCCGATCGTGGAGGCGCCCGGGGCCTCGGGCCTGGCTCTGCGCGGGCGCCCCCTCCGTCCCTGGCTGCCCCAGGCCGGCGGTCCCTGCCTTCCTCCAGGAGCCGCGGTGGGGGTGCTGGGGAGGACCAGGCCGCCTGGCCCTGCTTGGTGGTCGCCTCATTCCTCTGATGGAGACGGGGGTTCGGGGAGCACCTGGAGGGATCGCAGGGAGCTCCCCGGGCTCCCTTACCGTTAACCTTCACCGGAAAAAAAGTGGTCAGCGTTGAGCAAGACAAAAGAAACGAGCAAGCCTCGCTTGGGCTTGGGATCTGTTTGGTTTTGGGGGGCAGGGGTGGGACAGGCGTGATTTCGCTGTGGGGCGACCCTGGCGAGGGAGCAGCCGACCAGCACTCGGGTTGCTGGCTTTGACTTTCTCAGGCCTCGAGGCCGAACTCAGCTGAACCTTATGGATTGATCTGAAATAGGGTTTGGAGGGTCCAATCGAGTTTGCTTTCAACAGCTTCCAAGCTCACGGAGCAGAGACCATCTGTTTCCTTTCTTTTCTCATCCTCTTCCTGGACACTCTTCGGCTATCCTGCAATTGTATTCTCCTTTGAGGGTTTTAGACACCAGCATAAAGAGACAGTATTCAAGTATCCAGATAGACTAATTAGTGCAAAGAAACTAAAAAGAAAATGCCTTGCTGCTGTTCTAGTAAGAGTGCTCGTTGCTTTACTTTAGCTGTTTACTTTCTTCTGGGAGAACTGCCCAAATTGGAAAATGCATTCCGTGCAGGAACAATTACTTTGCTAATTTTTAACGTGGCATTCTCTTCCTACGTTCATATTATGTGATAGGGCACTTTGAAATCTACACTTGTAAAAATTTCAGAGGCAACAGAATAATTTTTATGGGCAGGTAAATGTAAAATGGAGTTTTTTATTTCAGTAATGAAAACGAACTTTAGTACAATTGTTATTTAAGTGATAGATGAGAAGTGTCAAAAAAAATTTAGCTCTAAGACAAGCTCTTGGGCAAACATCAAACAAAAAAACAAAAACCAGGGTTTCATGGATGTGGAGCGGTATTACACAGAGGGAAATGACAGTTGTAGGCCTCAGGACAACTTTTAGTTTCTTCTTGCTGATGCACACGCCAAAGCACTTCTGTTAAAATAATTTAACTGCAATTTATTAAAACATTAATGCCAAGAATTTATTTGTTTATTTATTTTTGAGACCGAATCTCATTCTGTTGCCCAGGTTGGAGTGCAGTAGTGTGATCTTGGCTCACTGCAACCTCTGCCTCCCGGGTTCAAGTGATTCTCCTGCCTCAGCTTCCGTAGTAGCTGGAATTACAGGCAGGCGCCACCACACCAGGCTACTTTTCTTTTTCAGTAGAGATGGGGTTTCACCATGTTGGCCAGGCTGGTCTTGAACCTCTGACTTCAAGTGATCCATCTGCCTTGGCCTCCCAAAGTGCTGGGATTATAGGCATGAGCCACCATACTCAGCCTGAATCATTTTATTTTTAACATTAAATATATGAGATACTTGGGAATCAAAATTTACTACATTGCAGTCAGCCATCTTATCCGTAGGCTCTGCATCTGACGCACCAAACTCAGGTAAAAAATATTCACAGGAGAAAAAAATTCTACAGAGTTCCAAAAAGCAAAACTTGAATTTGCCACATTCAAGTACTACCTTGAATCCATGTGAATAAAGTGATGTGAAGCTTTGTATTAGGTATTATAAGCAATCTAGAGACGATTTATCCAGGTATGCATAGGTTATATGCAAATACTCTGCCATTTTATAACAGGGACTTGAGCATTCTCAGATTTTAGAGGTGGAAAGTGAGGTCCTGGAACTAGTCCCCCATAGATTATATCCTTTACCCATCAAGCTGGTATTTACAGAAATAAGTACTTAGAAAAAGCAAGATGGCTTTCCCGTTCTCCTAGTAAAGGCCCATTTTTATCCGGAGGCCTGTGTTTTCTTGTCCTCGTTATCTTTTTATAATTGTATATATTAGCATCTGCCAAATTATCTGGCTCCTGCTCTGTAATATCCTTAGCCTGCTTTGCTGAGGTTAGTTAGAAAACGTTAACTTGTATTCAGCTGGTCCTGGAATTAATGCGTTGCATTTAGAAATGTAATATTTTCATTTGCTTAGACAGAATGTTTTCATCCGTGGCACCACCCAATTTATCTTGATAGGAGGCTAAATCTCGTGAAAAATGTTTGATATACTGTACTAACCTTTTATTCCCCCTTTTAACATTCTCTCTTGGTAATGAACTCATATGCAATGATGAATAAGCCATACTTGTGGTATTTGAAGAACTTTTTTTGTTGCCCAAGATGAGTTTCCAGTTATTCAGTTCTGTTTATTAATTTGCTTGATATTTTCCTCTCTGAAGCAATCTTACCATTCCTCAGTTCATTTCATTAGCTCTTCTGTGTGTTCCTGTTCATTTGTACACCCAATTAGCATTTCCTGATGCAGTATTCCAATTAACATAATTATCAGGATTATATAGAGACAGAAAATACCTGGATACTGACATGGCCTCTTTTCATTATTTTGTTGGATGAGTCTGTGGAGTAATGCTTTCTTAACCCATTTTCATATGATTACTTTCCAGGTTTCCTTACTCAATTGGATGAGCCTTCAAATGGGTTTTTAATTTAACTATTTGTTTATTTTTCGAGACAGGGTCTCTGTCACCCAGGCTAGAGTGCAGGGGTGTGATCATAGCTCACTGCAGCCTCCACCTCCAGGGCTCAAAAGATTCTCCTGCCTCAGCTTCTTGAGTAGCTGGAACTATAGGCCTGTGCCACCACATTCAATTAAAAAATATTTTTTTTTGTAGACTCTGGGTCTACAATGTTGCCCAGACTGGTCTTACATTTTTGGGCTTGAGTAATCCTTCCACCTTCATCTCTTAAAGTGCTGGGATTATAGGCGTGGAGCCATCATGCCTGGCTCAAATGGTTTTTTAGCCTTGAATAGATGTATTCATGTAAACGAGGTTTAAACATAGAGTTTTTCTCATTGTTTGATTAATGGTTTCTCCTCACTCCCTGGTAACCACTTACAAGATAAAAAATACAGCTAAGATATTTTCCAAAATTAGCATTTGCAAATGTGTTGTTAAGCTGATAGAAGAGAAATTCACACCTTTTTTTTTTTTAAAGATGGAGTCTTGTTCTGTCGCCCAAGCTGGAGTGCAGTAGCTTGATCTTGGCTCACAGCAACCTCCACCTCCTGGGTTCAAACAGTTCTCTGCCTCAGCCTCCGGAGTACCTAGGATTTCAAGCACCCACCACCACGCCTGGCTAATTTTTGTATTTTTAGTAGAGATGGGGTTTCACCATGTTAGCCAGGCTGGTCTTGAACTTCTGACCTCATGATCCACCCACCTCAGCCTCCCAAAGTGCTGAGGTTACAGGTGTGAGCCACTGAGCCTGGTCGTTCACACCTTCTTGATCAAAAACAAGAATTGTAATGTAACTCCTGCCTCCCTTTTTAGAAATGATGGTCTTCTCTCAGTATAGAAATGATTGGCCACTAAGAGGCTTATGAAATGAATCTGTTCTCTTAGCCGGTTGCCACATCGCAAGTCTGAATTCAGTTCTCTCTTGTTGTTAGTTCCAGGGTTAGAACAGATTGTTTTAACACAACTTCTTCAAATGATAGATCAAACACTTTCCATTTAGTACAAGTTAGTATTTGTTGAGAGCCTAGTCGTCACTAGAGAACGTGCCAAGGGCATGCTCCTCTTAAATTCCAGCCAGTTCCACCTTAGTGGGCAGATTTCTTCCAGAGAAGATAAAGGTCAGTGTCAGGGAAGAGTTTTATCATTTTAATTAATTCCTTCAATGGAAGTCATCTTTCAGAATGTGAATGCAATGTTTTCTTTTCAAATAATAGTTAAGAGCTAGTGTCAATTGTTGAGACTAGTAATTCCTTAAAAAATCTCCTGTGCCCTGGAAATTCAAACCACAAATCAAATATATCTCATGTTTTCTTAGGCATATTCTTTTCCAACAAGTGATCTCTCACTTCAGTCCTTCACTCATTCAGAATATATCTTCTGAGTCACCAGAAAGCATGGCACAATGTGAGGGAAACAAGGTGTACTTGGTGAACTTGTGTCCTTGGTCACAATGCTTACAGTCTCATTTGGGAAACCAAACAAATATACATGTTATTATAGAATAACGAATGCCTAAGAATGTGATCTAACCCATAGAGCCACACAGAATCGGGTTCCATTCCTGCCTCTGTCCCTTCCTTCTACACTTGGGCAAGTTAATTTGTATACATTTCCATTTCTTCATTCTAAATGGAAATAATTAAACCTATCATAAAATTGTGGTGAAGATTCAAATGAGATAATGTACATGAAGTGCTTAGTGCAGTGTCTGTCACATAGTAATGCTCAGTAAATGTCAACAATTATTGTCATTTGGATGATTGGTTTAGCCAGTGAACTCTATAGGAAAAGGGACCAAGCATTTAGAATTGGAGTTGTTAGAGAAGGCTTTCTGGGAGGAAGTGAGCAAAACTTTGGAGAGGCAGAAAAGATGGGGAAAGACCATCAGGAAAGTTGGGGGCAGAAAGAAGCATTTAAAAAATCTGGGAGTGGAATGTTGATGATACATGAGAAACAGTAAAAGCAGAGTTGGCTTTTAGAATATTAGTAGTCATCCAAATTATCCATCTAGATGCTTTTGTGTGATGGGTGTATTGGACACAGTCCAGCCTTCCATTTAATGGCAGTGTTTCCTTGGATAAGTCAATTGACTGATTTTGAGTCTTTGGAGTTTGAGCAAAATAGGTTTATCCTGAGAGTATAAGACCATACAGTATGTGCAAAATTTGCTGTATTGCATCTGGCACGTAACTGCTCATTAAAAGGCGGTAACTTCTGTGTTACTCATTTATGCACTTAATATATATTATCAAATACTTAACTCTGTCATCCCTGAGTTGGAAACCAGACATTGAGTGATGAAAAAGGTAACACAGTCCCAACCCTCATAGAGCTGACAATCTAGTGGGAGAGATGGACAATTAAACAATGGCAAAAGTGGCATAGGGGATAAAAGAGAGCAAGCCAGCTGATAAAGGGTATCAAGGTACATATGGGGACCCCATCCTCCCAGGAAGAGCCTGGCCAGGCTTTCTAGAGAAAGCAAAGTCTAGTTAAGGTTCATGTCAATTTGGGGTTGAGATAGTCATTGCATGAATTTTTAGAAATTTAATTCTCTGTGTTGTAAAAAGTTAAATTGGAATCTCTTGATACTGATTCACACGTTGTTCTTAACTCAGAGCATAAACGTTTTTATGCAATGATAAAACAGGTAATTTGCATGTTAGAGTTAGTAATGAAAGCGGGAAGTTTACTAGAAAGTTTTACATAAATAAGGAGATTTATTCATCTTTGAACAAGATTGTTACTAATCTAAGTTATTAGCAATTTAGAACTGTTTAGCTTTCTACTTAAATAGGTTTCTTATGTAAATCGAACTCTTGGAGGGAGGTAGCAAGGTAACTAACACCATCCTGCTTTGAATTTCACTGTAACCTACAACAAGGTCCTACCTGACACAAATGCAGTAAGACTTACCTGTCTAGTGACCAGAGAATTGCAGCTTCAATTCCCTTGAAATACAGTTAAATCCCACTTCTGAAATAATCTGGAAAAAGGATGCTGTAATTCCTCATAGACCCCAGAGGTTGCCTTGGAAGAAATTAACACGTCATAACATTTACACTTAAGAAGCTAGCTACAGTTCCTGAAACAACGAATTTCATTTGGGTTTGTCCCACCTGTGAATGTACTTAACTATATAAAGGTAGTGTATAGAAGACAGGTCCAAAAAAATTAGGAAAAGTTTTTATGTATTTTGAGAACATTCTAGAAACAAATAGCTGATTAAAACATTTTTTCAATCTAAAAATTTCAGGAAGATGATACTGTTTTCCCAAGGTAATACTTTGATTCTTAATTTTCTTCCTAATTTTTTTCCCCTCAATCTCCTGTAAGTATTTTTTTCCCCATGTTCTCCTTGAAGCTAAAGTACTCCCGAAGGTTTTAACTCCTTTCTTGAGGTCTTTTTAATTTTTATTTTTAAAAAATAAGATGAATATTTTATTCTCTTAATCCAGTACTATTTACAGTGGAAGATATTGATGATTGGTAAAATATTTTTGGGTCTATTTTATTCCATAAATGTATTTCATCTTCTTGATTGAAACACTTAAGATGTTTATGACCAATATTTATAATTTGGACAATAGTTCAGAAATTGTTTTGGCAGGGTTGCCAGCTCTGAGGCGGAGGCTGAGGACACCAAGAAATCAAAATGGTACCAATAGATGTGTGGGAGTGACATGACCTCTTGGAGGTCATCTGTTTAGATGAAGTATATGAAAATGGACTCTGGAGAAGTAAAGAAACAGAAGAACGGGTGCTCCATGGCAGCCCCAAGAGCTACTAGTTGCCTATTTTTCTAGTTATTTCTTGATCATATACTAAACAAGGAGTGGATTATTCATGAGTTTTCTAGGGAAAGGGGTGGGCCATTCTTGTAACTGAGGGTTCCTCCCCTTTTTAGACTATCTTTCTGACTTTGCCATGGCATTTGAAGGCTGTCCTGGCACTAGTGGGAGTGGCTTTTAGCATGCTCATGCATTATAATTAGTGTATAATAAGCAGTAAGAACAACCAAGGTCACTTTTGTGACCATCTTGGTTTTGGTGGGTTTTGGCCGGCTTCTTTACATAATGCTGTTTATCAGCAGGGTCTTTATGACCTGTATCTTGTGATATCAGACCTGTGACCTCCAGTCTCATCCTGTGACTAAGAATGCCTAACCTCATGGGAATGCAGCCCAGCAAGTCTTAGCCTCATTTTACCCAGCTCCTGTTCAAGATGGGGTCGCTCTGGTTCAAAGGCCTCTGACAACACTGGGACTAGGGGAGCTCTCTCTCTCAGTCTTTAAGGGAAAGAAATGCAGAGGTGTATGCAAATCTTTTTCTATCCATTTAACACATATTTGAAATACCTGTAGGTTTGCTGTAAGATGGCTGAGGGGATATAATTTTGGTCATAAAACTTCTGAAGTAAGTTTTAGAGCTAAAATGTAGAGCATTTTTGACTTTGTGGAATTTAAATTGCTGATGTCTTGTTCATGTAGTTATTTTGCTAGAAATATGCACTGCCTAATCCAAGCTTAAAAAGAAAAGATTTACATCTGTATGTCATTCAATGTAGGGGACAGTTTTAATCTGATTACAAAGTTGACTTTGGTATATGTTTTAGTAGTGATGATGTGTAACTAATTACGTAGCAGCTTTTTACTGTTTTGCATTTCAAAGTCCTAGGTACAAAGATCCCTGGCTATTAGTAATTTCATTTTGCTGATATGTCAGTAACAGAATGTTGGTATGTTTTCATTTAACATACCTTTGAAACGTACTTTAAAAAAAATTTTTTTTTTTTTTTGAGACAGAGTCTCGTTCTGTCACCCAGGTTGGAATGCAGTGTCATGATCTTGGCTCACTGCAACCTCCACCTCCCAGGTTTAAGCGATTTTCCTGCCTCAGCCTCCCCAGTAGCTGGGACTACAGATGCACAGCACCACCCCCAGCTAATTTTTGTATTTTTAATAGAGATGGGGTTTCACCATCTCTGCTGGTCTGGTCTCAAGCTCTTGACCTCAAGTGATTCATCTACCTTGGCCTCCTAGAGTTTGGGATTACATGCATGAGCCACTGTGCCCAGCCTGAAACCTACTTTTAAACAAGTGTCAGGAGAGGAAAAAAAGCCTAATACTGTAGTTTAATAATAATGTTGATAAATATGTTTTTCCTCTTTCTTGATAACTCATTTTTACTTTCTTGGATTCGACTTATTTTGTTTCTCTTTGATATCTGACATATAAAAACAAAGTTCACCCCTTATGTTTACTCTACCTTTACATTATAATAAATAAATATAGAGTTATAAGTTATGGGAAACTTTCAATGCCATTTTCTTAATTGTCATGGTCTTTTTGTATGTGTTTTTATAGCTTGCACCTTCTCTTCCTTTACAAGAAGATTTTGTTTATCACTGGAAGGCAATTACCCATTACTACATAGAGACTTCAGGTAAGGAACAATGCTGATATTAACTGAAAATTTGTGAAAGTTAAATAGAAAATTTGTGAAATACTAAAATATTTTTTTCTTTTTTTCTCCCATCCCGCCGTAAAATATTTTTTTACATATTTGAAAAAAGTTATTTTATATTTAAGTTTATAGACAACCTTATATTTAATTTGTCTTTAAGCTTCAGTCACTCATTTAAAAATAGTATCTGTTGAGAACCTACTACTGTGTGTCACGTATTGTCTAGGCATCAGGGGAAAGAACAGTCAGTCAAACAGACACTGCTGTCCTCACAGAGCTTATGTATTGATTGGGAGGAGGCAGACAGCATATAGACAGATAACGTATAGTGTGTCAGATGAAAAGCGTCAAGGGAAAATGAAGCAGGCTAAAAGAGTACAGGGGTACGATTGGGTGATGGGAACAGGCAGTTGGCTATTTTAGGTTAGAGAAAACCTCATTGCCCAAAATGACTTGTGAGCTGAAATCTAAAGGAGAAAGGAAGCGAGCCTACTGGATATCTGGGGGAAGAGTGTCTCGAGAATGAGACCTAACCCACCAACCCTCAGGCCAGAGCATGTGGCATACTTGGCATATTCCAGGAACTTTAAGGAAGCCAGTGTGGATAGAGCAAAGTGAAAGAGAGGAGTGGCAGGAGGTGAAAGAAGACAGAGGTGGGGGCTCAGGGGAGGGTTGCATATTTCCCCAGGGCCTCGTGAGCTATTGTAAGGGTTTTAGCTTTTACTGTAAGTGAGAAGTCTTTTGAGGGTTTTGAGTAGAGCTGGAACATAATCTGATTACTTTGACTTCTGTGAAAAAACTTAGATTGACAGGGATACAGGGGTGAAGCTGGTAAAACAGTTAGGGTACTGTCACAGCGGTCTCAGCAAGAGACAATAGTGGTTTAGGCCAGGGTGGAGGTGCTAAGGAGAATACATTCTGGATACATTTTAAAGAAAGATTTGTTGATGGATTGGATATTGGGGAAAGGGAGTAAGAGTCAAAGATGTAACTCCGAAGTTTGGGGCTTAAGAAGCTAGAAAACTAGAGCTGCCACTTACTGAGAATGGGGAGACTGCAGAAGGAGCAGGTTTGTGAGCACATTTTGAACGTGCTGAGTGTGAGATGCCTATTATACATCCACTTGGATATGTCAGATAGACAACTGGCAACAGGAATGTGGACTTGAGAGGTTTAAACTAGAGACATGAAACTGAGAGTTATTAACATGTAAGTAGGATTTAAAGCCCTGTGACTGGATGAGATTATCTAAGGAGTAAGGACAGATGGAGGAGAGAAGGTGTCCAAAACAGAACTCTTGGGCCCAGTGTTTAGAGGTTGGGAAGATGAGGACAGTAGCAAAGGAAACTGTTTTTGCCAGTAAGGAAGAAGACAGCCAATAGCAAATGGTGTCCTTAGAAGCCTGGAAGAGGAGAGAAGGATTAATTGTGTCAAATGATGCTGATATCAGGTTAATGAAGACTAAGAATGGATGACTGGATTTAGCTACAGGAAGCACATTAATGGTCTTGATAAGAGCCATTTTAATGTCAGGGAAGAGAAAGAAAGCGTGATTGGAGTAGGATTAAGAGAAAATGGGTGGAACTGGCTGGGCACAGTGGCTCACACCTGTAATCCCAACACGCTGGGCGTGGTGGCTCACACCTGTAATCCCAGCGAGGTGGGCAGATCGCTTGAGGCCAGGAGTTCAAGACTAGCCTGGGCAACACGGTGACACCCAAGCTTTAAAAAATATATAAAAATTAGCCGGGCGTGGTGATGAACACCTTTAATACCAGCTACTCGGGAGGCTGAGGCAGGATAATTGCTTGAACTGAGGAGGTGGAGGTTGCAGTGAGTGGAGATGGCACTACTGCACTCCAGCCTGGGTGACAGAGGAAGAATCTGGCTCAAAAAAAAGAGAAAATGGGTGGAAAAGATGTATAGACAATGTGTATAGACTGCTGTCATGAGGTGTATTAGTGTAAAGGGGCTGAAAGGAAGAGATGGTGGCAGGAGAGGGTTTTTAAAATTTTTAAGATATAAGATATTGCAGTTTTATTTGATGGAAGCAATCTAGAGAAAAAGGCAGATACAAGAGTAAAATGAGAGCATTTATTTTTCTTTGTTTTTTTGAGATGGAGTCTTTTCAGATTGGCTTACTGCAATGTTCTGCTTCCCAGGTTGAAGTGATTCTTGTATCTCAACCTCCCAAGTAGCTGGGATTACAGGTGCCCCCCCACCACGCCTGACTAATTTTTGTATTTTTAGTAGAGACGGGGTTTCACCATGTTGGCCAGACTGGTCTCAAACTCCTGACCTCAGGTGATCCACCCACCTTGGCCTCCTAGAGTGCTGGGATTACAGGTGTGAGCCAGATGAGATCATTTCTGCGCAATATCCTTAAGTAGGCAAGGGAGGAAGGGATCTTCTGTAAAAGTAGATGCATGGCCTTAATTAAGTGTGAGTACAGTTCATCCATCAAAATAAGGTAGAAAGCAGAACAAGGATAAAAAAACGCAGGAAACGGGTAGATACAGTGTACAGAGTCTTTGGAAGTTATCTTCTGGTTACATCTGTTTTTCTCAGTAAATAGGAAGGATGGAAAGTGAATATGGGGAGTGATAATAGATTAGGTCAAGGGTTAGCAAATTATTCCGTGAAAGGCCAGATAGGCTTTGTGAACCATACAGACTCTGTTGCAGTTCTTCACCTCTGCTGTTAAAAATGAGCTTTCCTTTTTTCTGATGCATTTTTATGTTTTATGTACAAAAACTGATGGCAAGGCTGGATTTGGCCCATGGACCAAAATTTGGCGATATAATGAAATAGGGACATTGCTACTTAGCACTACAGGATCCCCTGAAGAGTATATAGGTAAGCACTGGTGGATATGCAGATTAGACACATGTCATTTAACAAAGAGGAAACAAGAAAAATAAGAATAGTTCACTTGGCAAACTGAGGATTATAGGTGATTTGTTAAAAGAAAAAATCCTTTATATTTGTGTAGTAAGTCAAAAACAGACAAAAATATATATTTAATTTCTAACTTCATTTAGATGTTTAGCCAGCAGATATGCAGAAATGTTTCTTGAGAGGAGCTGCCTCTTCAAAAGACTGCTCTTAGCCCTTATAATTGTTGTTTTTTCCTGCTTCCGTGGCTTTGAGGAAATGAATTAAGTTCTTGCTTTAAAACATTTTTTCAATCTAGTAGCAGAAATAAATATGTACATTGCAATAAAATATTGAGCAAATAACATTTCAGGTGGAAAAAATAGCATATCCAAAGGCACAATGCCATTTATAGTTCAGGAATGATGAAAACAGGTGGCAGAAACTGGATCTTTTTTATAGGGAACTACGATTTTAATCCTGTCAAGTCAAATTTACAGTTAATTTATTTCTCAGTTTAAAAGTCTTTTTGTTTTTTTGGGTTGTTTTTTTTTTTGCCATAAATAATTGTAATCAAACCATCCTTGACCATTCATTTTTTCCTGGAGTGTTTGTATATATAAAGGCTACGATTATGGGGAAAACACATTTTTAAAGGGTAAATTACAAGAAAATTTATAAATTGTCTTTTACTAACGCTAGGCTACTCATTTTAGAATCTGAAATGAGACATGACATCTCTTGAATTCTTACTCTGTGCTAAGGACTGGGATTTATTATTTCATTGAAATCATATAACAGTACTCTCTAGTGTTTATTAGTTCCATTGTATAGATGTTGGTGACTGATGTTTACATAATTTGCACGAGTTCATCCAACTGAAAGTGACAGAGCCAAGATTTGTATCCAAGTTGTCTGACTCCAGGCTCCATGCTTTTAACAACTGTCCTATACTATGTCAAACTTGATACCTGTGTCCTCCTGGAAACAAGGGTGACCATTCTCTATCCATTGTTTTCTCCATAGCTTAGTGTTACGGTTTTCTCTCTGTGCTTGTGTATATACAGACAAAGCAACATATCAGTACATAGCATACCAGAATTGTGTTGGTCAAACTATAGAAGTATAAAGTAAATGAAAAATAGAGACATAAATAAGAATTTGGCATTTCCTAATATATTTTGTATTTAAATGTTGTATAAAACTTTACATTTTTAAAAGTAATTTAACCTTAGTATAATAAGGATAGGTTGATAAAATCATGTGATGTTTGAGGCTGTGATGTGTCAAAAGTATCACTAAATTTTAATGTTATTATAAGAAATTAATAATATTTAATAAAATTTCTCCTGAGAAGCAGCTTTGAAAAACAGATTTTGGAAATCGCTATCTGTTAATGAGTGATGTTAGTAATTTTAATAGAGGCTTTTCCTTTTGGCTTCTCCGATTTTAATAAATGAAAATGAACTAGGGGCATTACATGACAGGCTTCCCAATCCTATGAAGTAACGTGGTAGCAATGAAAAATAGAATCTATCCTTTTCATATATCCTGGGTTATTTGCCTTAATGTTCAAGGCCAACCTATATCTATTTAAAGAGACTTAAAATTCAGATCTTCTGAACTGGCTAAGTGAAAAAAATACTTTAGTTACAAGTATACATAGAACATTTTGTGCAACTTCCGCCTCCTGGGTTCAAGCGATTCTCCTCCCTCAGCCATTCAAGTAGCTGAAATTATAGGCGCCCGCCACCATGCCCAACTAATGTTTTTGTATTTTTAGTAGAGACTGGTTTCACCATGTTGGCCAGGCTGGTCTTGGACTCCTGACCTCAGGTGATCCACCTGCCCCAGCCTCCCAAAGTATTGGTATTATAGGCGTGAGCCACTGTGCCTGGCCATATTTCAGAATATTGATTTAGTTTTTGGGTAAGAATATGACAAAATGCATCATCTAAATTCTGGCAGAGATAATCATACTATATAAACTTCGCTTAAGTGTATTGTTCAGATTTTTCTCAGTTTGAATAGGAAAAGGGAAATATAGAGAGTATTTTAGGTGCAAATATGCAGTTTAAAAATGTTAAAATATTTGATGAATTTTATTTATTGTTTAGATGATAAAGCCCCAGTGACCGATACAAATATTCCATCGCATCTGGAACAGATGTTAGATATACTGGTTCAAGAAGAAAATGAACGGGAATCTGGAGAGACGGGGCCATGTATGGAATACTTGCTCCATCACAAGATCTTGGAAACATTATACACCTTAGGAAAAGCTGATGTAAGTTCCTAATCCACATCATGTTCTTGGGCATGTAGTACATGCATTAATGTTTTACAAATAAAGAAGCTGCCAAATTATAAAGGTGTGTATTGAACATGGCAGGATTCGAATTAAGATCGTGGAAAAAAGAAAATTGTGTGGCCTATACAAATATGTCCATAGAGATAGCAAAGATTCCAAACGCTCTAGACAACAACTAGTACTTGGCTGGGCATGGTGTAGGGCTGGGTGTGGTGGCTCACGCTGTAACCCCAGCACTTTTGGTGGCTGAGGTAGGTGAATCACGAGGTCAGGAGTTCACGACCAGCCTGGCCAACATGGTGAAACCCCGTCTCTACTAAAAATACAAAAAATAGCTAGGCGTAGTAGCAGATGCCTGTAATCACAGCTACTCAGGAGGCTGAGGCAGGAGAATCACTTGATCCCAGCAGTCGGAGGTTGCAGTGAGCCGAGATTGTGCCATTGCACTTGAGCCTAGGCAACAAGAGCAAGACTCGTCTTAAAAAAAAAAAAAATTCCAGTATAAACATTTATGAAAATAAACTCAAGTACATGTAGTCAGAATAAAAAAAGAGAAGGAAATTAGTTAAAATAGGATTGAAAAATAGGAATTATTTGTCATAGTCCTGGAAGTGAATGTCACTGATTATTTTGACACTGACTGAACTATTGAGCCAATTTGTATTTTTTAGGCCTGATGAATATTGAAAAATCTTTACAAAGCCAAAATTATGATATCAATAATATTTTATATTGCAAAACCTTCAAATTGCTTATAGAGAAAAGTTTTCCAGCTGTGTAGCCAAGTGAAGGAACAGAAGAGCCTTGGGTTCAGATTAGGAGGCCAGGCTTCCAGTCCTGACTTCATTATTTGCACACTATGACCATCACAAGTCTCTTTGGTTAATCTTCCTCTTCCGTAAAATCCAAAAAGTGATTGCTAAGGGGCCTCCCTAGCCCTGAAAGTCTATAGTACTGTTCTGTGAGTTTCTATATATGAAAAAATCAGACTAAAACAAAAGATACCTATAGATGTATTTTCATGACAAAGAGAGTTATGAATAGTAGTGTTCAAGATGATTTCCTTTTGTCTGTCTATAATACTCTAATTTACTTTTAAGTTAAATTCACTCAATTTATGTTGTCTAGGCAACACACCTGCTCCCCAGTATTCTGCAACTCATTCTCCTCCTCCTTATTCTTTCCTTTGGAGAGAAGGATTATTATTAGTAAATTGATGAATTGATTTTTGAGCAAAAGTTAGTAATTGTAGTTTTAGTAAATTTATTTTAATACAGATGATTGTAAATGTTATTTAGTAATTTATCTAAATAATGTAAAGTATTTGCTAGCTTAAAAATATTATTGTGTATAAGATTATAGTTTACATTTCCAGGTAGCATGTCTATGATAATGCTTTGGGAATACTCATTTTGTAACTGTATTTGAAATCTGAAGCAATGTAAGCAGCTTAATTAATAAGCATAAACTTGTTGAATTATACTCTCTTAATCTGCAACGTGAGTGATCATTGGGGTTTACCTGCTTTTCAGCAAATAATACAACTGGCATGTTATAGAAACTAATTTATTAAACATTCTTGCCTATTATAATTGTAATATAAATAACGTGGTTTATTGTTGACCCTTGAACAACCGTAGATTTGAACGGTGTAGGTCCAGATATAGGCAGATTTTTTCAACCAAACATGGGTGGAAAGTACAGTATTTCCAGGATGCAAAACCTGCCTATGCAGAGGGCTGAATTTTCACATATTTAGGTTCTACAGGGCTGACTACAGGAATTGAGTAAATACAGATTTGGGTATAACCATGCATTCTGAGGAACAGCTCTAATTTAAAATGATGTTGGAATAAAATCAGAACAGTTGACACCATAGTTTTCCTTTTATTTACATGTGTGTTAGGAGGCTTTATTTACTCCTATATATATATATATATATATATATATATATATGATGGAAAGTTGTTGATAACCTGTCCATCATTAGTGTAAGTAACACAATTTGCCTTTGTTCTGGCAGGGAGTTAACTATTATAGTTTCATGTTACCCGAGCATTTAGAATATGAACAGGTTGACATTGCCTGTACCAAACTCTAATCTCAGCAACATATTATCACCATGCTGTTTGTAACTGCATGAGCCTATGGTCTCATATGCTCTATTATGGTCTCAGATGTATAATTTTATTTCTAGAATACTCATCATTAATATTTGATTGAAAATTTTATTCTGAACAGTTATTAACTGGCCAGTTGCATTGTCTTTTCAAGGTGGGATACGTTCATAGACGTTGTCTCTCTGATTTTTGAAGCTCTTCAGTAAATGTGTTTGCATTGCCTGTTCTTTTCCTGTTGTCTTTCCTTTTTTCCTATACCCAGTGTCCTCCAGGAATGAAACAGCAGGTTTTGGTTTTCTATACGAAACTCCTGGGAAGAATCCGGCAGCCGCTGCTTCCACACATTAACGTGCACAGGCCAGTGCAGGTATTTGCTTCCTTTACATAAAACTATTTGGTTTGATTTATTTTAATGTTGAAATTTTCTAAAAGTAAAAGTAATGAAATTATTCTAAAAGTAACATGCAAATTAGCAAATACTCGAGCTTTCTTTATGTATCACATAGGATCAAGTGTACTTAATGTCTTTCTTCTTCTCTTTTAAAATTTTATACATAAGTTTTTCTTTTACCTCCATGATGTCTAAAGGAGAATTTATTATATAACTTATTAATTATTTACAGTAATGAACTTGAAAAATTTACTGTTTATTTTGATGTAGATAATCATAAATATTTTTAGTGTTCTGATTAGTGCAGGGTATTTGCATTATATGAAAATTTTAAATATCCTTAAGGTAAATGGATGGTTATTTTACAAATTCATAAATAGTAACCTAAGTTTAAAAAGTTAAAAAAATTTTTTTTCACAGAAATTAATTCGACTCTGTGGCGAAGTCCTTGCAACACCAACAGAAAATGAAGAGATTCAGTTTCTTTGTATCGTGTGTGCAAAGCTGAAACAGGATCCCTACCTGGTTAACTTTTTTCTAGAGGTATGATACACTTCTTGTCAACCTTCAAATTATAATTACATTAAGATCATTATGAAAATTGAATTCTATGAATAATATTAGAAGGAGTTATGTTTTGCGGGTTATTAGCTTGTTTTACTTCTCAGAATTATTTTTCCTTTAAGATCACTGTTTTATTCTTCTGGGAAAAAAGCATTTCAAAGAATGCAATTGAGCCAGATATATGAGATGGTATAGGGACTGGACAGATACAAAGTCACAGCTTAAAAGAGGACAGCTTGAAGAGTGAATCAGAGACAGACAAGTCGAAGAAATTGATATGCTATCATGTTTTCCGTCAAGTTTGCCCTAGTATGCATCTGGCCTGGGATAAGGATGGCATGTGCAGATTTGGACAAGATGGAGAAAAGCACAAGTTATCTCTCCAACCTCATAGCAGTTGGGATTGCTGTAGTATTTTGTACTGTTTTGATGGCTGTAATCACTGAATCAGAGTTTACTTAAATCAAGTGGTATTTTGGATTTTACTTCCAGATTTAAAGTAAAAAATATATTTTTGTACATTTTGCTTTCATTCACTTCTTTTTTTCAGCAGTGAAGTCATTTTGGAATATTTTAGAAAAAATGGGCCTGGCATGGTGGCTCACACCTGCAATCCCAGCACTTTAGAAGACTGAGATGGGTGAATCACAAGGTCAGGGGTTTAAGACTAGCCTGGCCGACATGGTGAAACCCCGCTAAAAGTACAAAAATTAGCCTGGCGTGGTGGTGGGCACCTGTAGTCCCAGCTACTCAGGAGGCTGAGACAGGAGAATTACTTAAACCTGGGAGGCAGAAGTTGCAATGAGCTGAGATCGCACCACTACACTCCCGTCTGAGTGACAGAGCGAGACTCCGTATCAAAAAAAAAAAAGAAAAAATGATTATGTTGTTTTTGTCTTTTTACCTTTTCGTTTGTTTGTAATTTCTTTTTTTTTTTTTTTTTTTTGAGGCAGGGTCTTACTTTGTAGCCCAGGCTGGAGTATGAGTACGTGACCATGGCTCACTGCAGCCTTGACCCTCCCTGAGTGATCCTCCCACCTCAGGCTGCCAAATAGCTGGGACTACAGGTGCGCACCACCACACCTGGCTAATATAAAAAATTTTTTTGTAGAGATGGAGTTTCCCTGTGTTGCTCAGGCTGGTCTCGAGCTTCTGAGCTCAAGCGATCCTCCTACCTCAGCCTCCCAAAGTGCTGGGATTATAGGCATGAGCCACCACACCTGGCCTTCTTTTTCGTTTCTTAAAAAATATTTTTCTGGCTAGGCACAGTGGCTCACACCTGTAATCCCAGCACTTTATGAGGCTAAGGCAGCTGGATCAGTTGAGGTCAGGAGTTTGAGATCACCCTGATCAATGTGGTGAAACCCTGTTTCTACTAAAAATCCAAACCTTAGCTGGGCGTGGTAGTGCACGCCTGTAATCAGAGTTATTTGAGAGGCTGAGTCAGGAGAATCACTTGAACTTAGGAGGCAGAGATTGCAGTGAGCCAAGATTGCAGCACTGCACTTCAGCCTGTGCAACAGAGTGAGACTCCATCTCAAAAAAGTAAAAAATACATAAATACATAAATGTTTCTTCCTTTTTCTTGCTTTCTTTTTTTTTTTTTTTTTTTTTTTGCTTTAAGATATAGGTTACATACAATAGAATTCACTCTTTGGTCTACATTCTATGAGCTTGATGAACACAGTTGTACGACCACTACCACAATGAAGATTTGCAACAGCTGTGTCACACTACCCCACGACCCTCTGTGGTCATCCCTTCTCCACCCCTACCCTCCCTAGCAGTCACTGATCTATTTTCCGTCCCAATAGTTTTCTGTTTCCCAAAAAGTCACAGCAATGTAGTTAGCCTTTTGATTCTGGCTTTTTAAAGTCAGCTTGTTGCATTCGAGATTCATCCATGATTTTGTTCCTTTACGTGTTGAATAGTATACCATTGTATGGATGTCCCACAGTTGTTTATCCATACGCCAGTGAGGGACTTTTGGGTTATTTCTAATTTTTTATCATTGAGAATAAAACCAGTGAGGACATCACACACAGATTTTTGCGTGGATTTAGGTTTTCATTTCACTTGGATAAATAGGTAGGGTAGGATCACTGGATCATATGGTAAGTGTACATTTATTTTTCATAAGGAACTGCCAAACTGTCTCCCAAGTAGCTTTGCCATTTTGCATCCCGTCAATACTGTACGTGAGCTGGTGTTCCACGGTGTCATCAGCACTAGATGTTGTTAGGTCTTTGTTTTGTTATTTCTAAATGTTAGCCACTCTTATCATATGTGGGTTTTGTTTTCTATTTTACATTACTAAGTAATTTAGGATTCTATTCTGTACTCTTAACTGGAGTTAGGTAAGCAGCTAAGCTGCAGGGTTTCATGAATTTAAATTCTAGGTCATGTTAAGGACGATGAGTGCCCTTAACGGTCATCGTGTGCATCATGTGTTTCTCGTCATGTGCATTATATTTTATATCATCTTTTGCATATTTGCTTCAGAATGGCTAGAACAGTCTTATGATTTTGGATTTCCAAAGATTTATAATGGTATTAGAGTTTTTTAGGTTTTTGTGTACTTATGAGAAATAGCTTGGCTGTGAGATTTTTCTTCTCAAAGTTGTTTCGCTAAAGTTTTCTTAAACTTAGTGTGCTTGGTTGAAGGCATAGGTTGTTTTTCCCCAAACTTAAGCCTGGAGAATTTCTTTCTCAAAAATCTCTGAAACTTGTTTTCTAAGTGCCTAGCATAGATCAGTAGCAGACAAAATATGTAGGCTTATATATGTTTATGGTGAGGTACATGGTATGTACCTGTCTTTAGAAAAGCATTTACATTTAAACCTCACTGCAAAGAATACCCCTCAGAATTAGTGACACGTCTGCTTTGTGCAGTTTTTGTAACATATTTCTCCAAAGCCTGAGGTAGTAGGTGTCTGCATTTTTTTAATGAATAGGACTATTTGTATGTGTTTAGTGTCAGTTATTACATCGCCCCAGCACTGGTTATTTAAGTGCATTTTATTTTCTCCTGCTAGTCAGTACATTCCTTGAGGACAAGGATTCTGTCTCATTAATGTTGGGTCCCCAGAGCTTCTTTAGAATCTAGCACAATGTATAGTAACTGCTTAGTTAACACTTACTAAATGAATGAATCTTTAGGGAGATGTAGGATTTTGGTTTTGTTTTTGCTTTTTTTGAGACAGTCTGACAGGCTGTAGTGAGGTGGCACAATCTCAGCTCACCACAACCTCTGCCTCCCAGGTTCAAGCGATTCTCATGCTTCATTCTCCCAAGTAGCTGGGATTACAGGTGTGTGCCACCACGCCCGGCTAATTTTTGTATTTTTTTTTTTTTAATTTTTTATTGGATTATAGGTTTTGGGGTACATGAGCAGAGCATGCAAGACAGTTGCGTAGGTACACACATGGCAGTGTGCTTTGCTTTTCTTCTCCCCTTCACCCACATTTGGCATTTCTCCCCAGGCTATCCCTCCCCACCTCCCCCTCCCACTGGCCCTCCCCTTTTCCCCCCAATAGACCCCACTGTTTAGTACTCCCCTTTCTGTGTCCATGTGTTCTCATTTTTCATCACCCACCTATGAGTGAGAATATGCGGTGTTTCATTTTCTGTTCTTGTGTCAGTTTGCGGAGGATGATGTTTTCCAGATTCATCCATGTCCCTACAAACGACACAAACTCATCATTTCTGATTGCTGCATAATATTCCATGGTGTATATGTGCCACATTTTTCCAATCCAGTCTATTATCAATGGGCATTTGGGTTGATTCCAGGTCTTTGCTATTGTAAACAGTGCTGCAATGAACATTCGTGTACATGTGTCCTTATAGTAGAACGATTTATAGTCTTTTGGATATATACCCAGTAATGGGATTGCTGGGTCAAATGGAATTTCTATTTCTAAGGCCTTGAGGAATCACCACACTGTCTTCCACAATGGTTGAACTAATTTACACTCCCACCAACAGTGTAAAAGTGTTCCTTTTTCTCCACATCCTCTCCAGCATCTGTTGTCTCCAGATTTTTTAATGATCGCCATTCTAACTGGCGTGAGATGGTATCTCAATGTGGTTTTGATTTGCATCTCTCTGATGACCAGTGACGATGAGCATTTTTTCATATGATTGTTGGCCTCATATATGTCTTCTTTCGTAAAGTATCTGTTCATATCCTTTGCCCACTTTTGAATGGGCTTGTTTGTTTTTTTCCTGTAAATCTGTTTGAGTTCTTTGTAAATTCTGGATATCAGCCCTTTGTCAGATGGGTAGACTGCAAAATTTTTTTCCCATTCTGTTGGTTGCCGATCCACTCTAGTGACTGTTTCTTTTGCCGTGCAGAAGCTGTGGAGTTTCATTAGGTCCCATTTGTCTATTTTGGCTTTTGTTGCCAATGCTTTTGGTGTTTTGGTCATGAAGTCCTTGCCTACTCCTATGTCCTGGATGGTTTTGCCTAGATTTTCTTCTAGGGTTTTTATGGTGTTAGGTCTTATGTTTAAGTCTTTAATCCATCTGGAGTTAATTTTAGTGTAAGGTGTCAGGAAGGGGTCCAGTTTCTGCTTTCTGCACATGGCTAGCCAGTTTTCAATTTTTGTATTTTTAATAGAGATAGGTTTCACTGTGTTGGCCAGGCTGATCTCAAATTCCCGACCTCAGGTGATCTGCACACCTAAGCCTCCCAAAGTGCTGGGATTATAGGCATGAGCCATCGTGACCAGCTAGAAATGCAGTTTTATTACTTATAAATATAGATAAGAACAAAAGTGCTTTGCAGTTCTCAGGCATGTATTCCCTGCAATGTCATCTCTCTGTTCATTAATATCAGCCAATTTTTGCATCTACTGTGGGTTAAATATATATGGTAGATGACTTAGAAACAGTCTTTGCCCTAAAGAGGTTTACAGTCTGGTGAGGACGGTAGATGATTGCTCAGATACTGTAATCTAAAGTAGAGTAAAGTGAAAATCAAAGGAAAGATACAAAATAAATTCCTTAAGTGCTTATAGGATGGAGAGATACAGCAGCTCTAGGTTATCATGACCTCTTCCTGGAAGAGGTCATCTTTGACATGAGGCCAAGCACAGTGACTCACACCTATAATCCTAGCACTTTGGGAGGCAGAGGCAAGCAGATTGCTTCAGCTCAGGAGTTGGAAACCAGCCTGAGCAACATAGCAAGACCTTGTCTCTATAAAAAATTTAAAAAAAAGAAAAAAATTAAGCTTGACAGATATTTAGAGTGGGTGAACATAAGGAATTAAGTTATAAAAGTTTTTGGTGTGTTCAGGAAACAGTATAATTAGGATGTGTGGCAAGCAGCACCTGAACAGATAGAGACTAAGTATGGCAGGATGAGTTTATTTTTACTTGTAGATACTGGGGAGCCATTAACTGTTTTTGAGCAGGCATGTTATTATGTGATGGTATCTGTGCCTTAAGTTAAATTGGCAGCAGCATTTTATACAGCGGATTCTTTGAGGGGAGAGATAAAAGCAGGGAAACTAATTTGGAAACTGATGGAGTAAGCCAGGCAAGAAGTGACAAGGACTATAACCAAGTTGTAAGCAATGGGTTGGAATGAAATGGGTACGTTCAGACTAGAGGTAGGCTCTATATGGTCTTGTAACTGCTCAGAGGCGAAGCTGGGAAAGGGTGATTTGAATGCTCAAATTTCTGAATCAATAAGCCTGCTGCTAGTGGAAAGACAGGGGTTCCAAGGGAGCTTATTTTGAGGGGAAGATGGTAATTTTGGTTCCAGAGTCATCGTAATTTCCTGATGGAGATAATTAGCAGGTATTCGGTATTGCAAATCTCTGATTTGGGAGGGAAGTTTAAGAGATTTAGAAGTTATATGTGCAGCTATGTTGTGGGTACTGATGAGATCCCTAAAACAGAAGAGGAACAGTTTTAGTAGGAACCAATGTGTTAAAGCCATAGTTTCTCATCCACTAGGGAATTTTTCTAAAATGCACGCTCCTTAGCTCCACCTCCAGATATTCTCATTCAGCAGGTCTGGATGGGACCCAGGAATCTGTATTTTTATTAAGCCCCACAGAAGACCAGCATATCAACAGTCTTAAGTCATTTGAGAAACATTGATTTTTTTCTTTTTTTTTTTTTTTACACTCTTTGTATCTGGAAAGAGAAACATTGCTTTATTTGAGGAAGGAGTGCTATACTAACATTCTTCCTCTTGGTGTTCTTATTTGAGACACCTCTCCCAACAATATTGCTAGTATTTTAAATGAATGAAATGTTTTACTTTCATAAAGACTATGATATCCCATTGGTGTTTTTTGTTTGTTTGTTTTTTTGAGGTGGAATCTTGCTCTTTTGTCCAGGCTGGAGTACAGTGGCATGATCCTGGCTCACTGCAATCTCCGCCTCCCAGGTTCAAGCAATTCTCCTGCCTCAGCCTCCCTAGTAACTAGGTTTGCCATGTTGGCCAAGCTTGTCTCAAACTTCAGACCTCAAGTGATCTATCTGCCTCAGCCTCCCAAAGTGCTGGAATTACAGGCATGAGATACCGCACCTGGCCAATATGCCATTGATTTTGTTGGAAATTAGCAAATTGTTTGGAGTATTCATTGAGTTCCTTAGAGTTGTTTTCTTTTAATGTATGTTTTGAAACTCAATTTTTCAAGAAAATTGGTCTAACCTATACTTCCAACAGCAATAAAAGTGATTTATAATTAGTATAATATAACTTTGGAAGTAGAACCTTGAATTCATTCAGCCTTTAATATGTTTCTATGATGATAGGCCCTGTGGAGAAGTTAGTTTATGATGAATTTTAACCTATGTGTGTAATTTCATTTCAGCTCTTATATTCAGATACTTTTGCCTTGAAGCTAATAATTTGCTAATATGCTTCAGTTTAAATTCTTTTTGTGTTTGAGTGTGTGGATTGGGGGAGGGAGCACCAGCGTTTCAAGCAAATCTTATTTCTATCCTAAAGACATTAGTAAAAAATCTCTTCTGAGTAGTTTCTTATGTTCTTTTTTTAAAAAATTTTTGAGACAGGGTCTTGCTCTGTACCCGGGCTGGAGTGCAGTGGCGTGATCACAGGTCACTGCAGCTTCTACCTCCCAGGCTCGCAATCTTCCTGCCTCACTTCTTTTTTTTAATTTTTTAAATAGAGATGTGATCTCACTGTGTTGCCCAGTCTAGTCTCAAATTCCTGGGCTCAAGTGATCCTTCTGCCTCGGCCTCCCAAAGTGCTGGTATTAAAGGCATGGGCTGCTGTGCCCAGCTTCTTGTGTTCTTGTAAAGTAGAGGTTTAATGAAAAAGTTAGAAAAGATTCTTACATATTTGAGAGAATTTGGGGGCTTTTGCGGAAATCTTCATTTTAATGCTGATAATTTTGAACTTTAAGATATTTTTAAGTTTGTACTTCCCTCCCTGCAAACCACCCCCGCCCCACCCCATGATCTTATAAGAATTAACCTTGAGGCTATGTAGTTATAGTAGTCCAGTGATGAGAAAAAAATTAACTGCTGTTGAAACCTCCTGAAACTTTTTTCCTCACTAATATTAGTTGTTTTAAGCAGTAATCAGATTATCACTAATACTGTTCATTGCTTACGGTCCATGTAAAACATTTTGTAGTTAGTATGAGGAGTGTGATAAACTCCTATGCAATGGTAAAATCATTCTAAAACACACTTGTTAAAAGTCAGAATATTTTCATGTGACATAACATTTATTGCTACTTTTGGTTAGGCATGTGGAATGTTATAGAAAAATCCATTAAAATGTTATTTTCGGCTTAAAAAGTTCTTGCTGTGAATCTTATAAAACATTTATTCCTTTTCAGAATAAGTTGAAATCATTGGCTTCCAAAGGAGTACCAAATGTAATTTTGGAAGATACGTTAAAAGGTCAGGATTCCTTGTCAACAGATACAGGGCAGTCTCATCAGCCAGAGGAACTAGCTGGTGCTGCTGGAATGGAGCAAACAGAATCAGAAGACGAGCCTCCTCAGATGGATGACCTGTCCACAAGCTTGGATAACCTCAGTGTCAGTTCACTGCCAGAGGCCTCAGTTGTTCGTCCAAACCAGGATTACAATTTAGTGAATTCTTTGTTAAATCTTACTAGAAGTCCTGTGAGTTGTGATTTTGACTTTTCGCCCCCAATATGATTTCAATAATGTGCATTTATTTTTTTATTTTTATTTTTATTTATTTATTTATTTGTGACAGTCTTGCTCTGTTGTCCAGGCTGGAGTACAGTGGTGCGATCTCAGCTCACTGCAACCTCCGTCTCCCGGGTTCAAGCAATTCTCCTGTCTCAGCCTCCCCAATAGCTGGAATTACAGGTGTGCACCACCACGCCTGGGTAATTTTTGTATTTTTAGTAGAGATGGGTTTCACCATGTTGGCCAGGCTGGTCTCAAACTTCTGACCTCAGGTGATCCACGTGCCTTGGCCTCCCAGAGTGCTGGGATTACAAGCATGAAGCACCACACCCAGCCAGTAATATGCATTTAAAATAGACCAAGGCTGGGTGCGGTGGCTCACACCTGTAATCCTAGCACTTTTCAAGAGTCCGAGACAAGCCTGACCAATATGGTGAAAACCCATCTCTACTAAAAAAAATACAAAAATTAGCTGGGTGTGGTGACACACACCTGTAATCCTAGCTACTCAGGAGGCTGAGGCAGGAGAATTGCCTGAACCTGTGAGGTGGAGGTTGCAGTGAGCCAAGATTGTGCCACTGCACTCCAGCCTGGGTGACAGAGTGAGACTTCGTCTCCAAAAAAATAAATAAATAAATAAAATAAAATAGACCCAAAAAAATCTCTTTTTCTTTTAGTGTCAAACATTAAATCCTTTTATGTTGATTTTTTTTCAAACAACCTGATGTATATACAATTCAAGAATTGAAGGGGAATTTCTTTTCCCCTTTAGGATGGCCGAATAGCTGTGAAGGCATGCGAAGGCCTGATGCTGTTAGTAAGTTTGCCAGAGCCTGCAGCTGCAAAGTGCCTTACACAGAGCACTTGCTTGTGTGAACTACTGACAGACAGACTTGCCTCCCTGTACAAGGCCCTACCTCAGTCAGTGGATCCATTAGATATTGAAACTGTGGAAGCAATTAACTGGGGGTAAGCACTGTTAATTTGTATTTTCCCATAAAGGCAACTTCTAACACCTACATTTTAAAATTCATTTCTATTTTGCAATCATAGAAATCTTTGAAAAATGTAACACTACTAGTGATCATTAATTGGGAATATGTTCTTGACGCTTATATTAAATTTATCAGTGTAATGAATTGGTGTGGGAACAGTCCAGCTGTTATATAGTTAAGATATTTTTATTTTGTCCATTAAACTGATCAGTTTTTAAGGGCTTACATTAAAACCAGTAATTTCACCTGATTATTTTTATTAAAAACAAAAAGCCCTAAAAGAAGGAATCTCCTTTTAAAATAATTTCCATAGCCTCTAGAGCAGTCTAATCTGTCTCCTGTCTCCTGGCCAGCTTGGACAGAATCTCTTCTTCTACCTCATTCTTTCACCTCTTCTTCCAACCTATTAGACCCCCCAACTTGATTCTCACAGCGAATATATGATTCTTGCAGCATGTTTATAAGTTATTAAAAAGTATAAAGCAGCATAAATAAGTTGCCCATAATCCCACCAGGGATATGCAGTCTAATATTTTTACATAATCACCTTTTGTTGTATTTCTCTGCATTTTTAACGTTTCTTTGTTTTTTCCACTCTTATTTTCTGTCAACATCTATAGGGCAGACCCACTTGTTAACATTATGACTGTATTGCATTTTAGGGCAGGAATAGGGCACTCACTATTTCTCTTTGTAGATCTTCCTTTACCATTCTTTCTTCCATCCCAGCAGCTGAGAACCTCTACCTTTTCATTGATGTTACTTGGTACCACTTAGGGCAGGAGTATGAGGAGCTATCCCAGTGTTTTTTCTCCTGCAGCTCCATTTTTTTTTTCTTTTTGAGACAGGGTCTTGCTCTGTCACCCAGGCTGTAGTGCAGTGAAGTGATCTCAGCTTACTGCAGCCTCTACCTCCCAGGTTCAAGCTCCCAGGTTCTTGTGCCTCAGGCTCCCAAGTAGCTGGGATTACAGGCATGAGCCACCATGCTGACAATTTTTTTTTTTTTTTTGATTTTTAGTATTTTTAGTAGAGACAGAGTTTCATTATATTGGCCAGACTGGTGTTGGACTCCTGACCTCAAGTGATCCACCCGTGTCAGCCTCCCAAAGTGCTGGGAGTAAAAGCGTGAGCCACCATGCCTGGCCTCCTGCAGCTGCATTCTGCTTTAATCTCTCTTCTCCTACTTAATAAGTGAAAATTATTTACAGCTCTTATTTAAAAGGTTTTCTCTTATCTTTGGTTTGTTTTATGGAACCCTCTTCTGACTGTCCTCCAGCATTGCCTGTGTGAATGTACCATACTATCTGAGTGTGTTCACATGCCTTCATTTCTCCATACATAGTGAATAGGATCCATGCTTTTGAATGACTTTGAATGACTTTGGACTCAGCAATTTTTCCTTGTCTTACAGCTTGGATTCATATAGTCATAAAGAAGATGCTTCAGCATTTCCAGGAAAACGAGCCTTAATTTCATTTCTTTCCTGGTTTGATTATTGTGATCAACTCATTAAGGAAGCCCAAAAGGTTTGAAAATTTTTTTTATCATTTTAAGATGTAAATATTTACTAAGTGAAATTAGAATCCCTAATTTATATCTCCAAATATATTTGAATTGTCTTAGAATACCATGGTTAGTAAATAAGTAAACAAAAAAGTGTTTATGTGTTTGTATGTGTATATTACAGTTCTAGAATAAATCAAAGTTCAAGTTCTTCCCTTTTTTATTTCCTTAAATATTATGGTACAGTGCTTTATAAAGTAACACTGACCTGCCTTCAGTCCTGCTCTTTGGGGAAATGTTAATACTATACAGACATCATAACATTTTTTTTGTCCTATTCCTCTTATTTTTGGGAATTTAGAAAACACGAGGCCAGGCATAGTGGCTCACACCTATAATCCCAACACTTTGGGAGGCTGAGGCAGGCAGATCACAAGGTCAAGAGATTGAGATCATCCTGGCCAACATAGTGAAACCCCGTCTCTACTAAAAATACAAAAATTAGCTGGGCGTGGTGGCAGGAGCCTGTAGTCCCAGCTACTCAGAAGGCTGAGGCAGGAGAATCTCTTGAACCCGGGAAGTGGAGGTTGCAGTGAGCCGCGATTGCACCACTGCACTCCAGCCTGGCAACAGAGTGAGACTCCGTCTCAAAGAAAAAAAATATATAAGTGATCCAGTAGCCAACATCTAATTTAGATTTATATGCCACCAATCAGAGGGTCATTAAGCAAGTTTTGTCTTTCCACATTAATTCAGTTGGGGAGTGCAAACTGATTTATTGATGTTACAAATTGTTCTTTCTTTTATATTGAAAAATAATGTTTCTACTATATTCTAGACTGCTGCTGTTGCTCTTGCCAAAGCTGTTCATGAAAGATTTTTCATTGGTGTTATGGAACCTCAATTAATGCAAACGTGAGTAGCCTGTTTTCTTTTGAAAAAAAAAAAAAAATAGCTATCATATCGTTTTTGCCCACTAATTACCTGTTCGTTGTGCTCAGTTCTGAGATGGGTATTCTCACATCCACTGCTCTGCTTCATCGCATCGTTCGGCAAGTGACCTCTGATGTTTTGCTTCAAGAAATGGTGTTTTTTATCCTTGGAGAACAGAGGGAACCAGAAACTCTGGCAGAAATCAGCAGACATCCTTTAAGGCATAGGTTAATTGAGCATTGTGATCACATATCTGATGAGGTAAGCTATGTAGTGATTTAGTATTGGACTTAGATTCTTTGGAATACTGGTTTTAATATATTACACTTGAGATGTTTTCAGTACAACCTCTTTTTATTGGCTTTAGAAATTGAAAGCATGACTCACAAGATGGCAAGAAGAATAACTTATTTAAAGATATTTTTCAGTTGGCTTTTATCAATTTTGGTTTCAGATAAGCATAATGACATTACGAATGTTTGAACATCTTTTACAAAAACCCAATGAGCACATTCTTTACAACTTGGTCTTGAGAAATCTTGAAGAAAGAAATTATACAGAATATAAACCTTTGTGCCCAGAAGATAAAGATGTGGTAGAAAATGGATTGATAGCAGGAGCAGTGTAAGTTTCCATCCAGCTCCATGTGTTCAGCATTTCATGTAGAGATAGAACTTTCTCCTCTTACCTATCTCCTTTATCCTCAAAAGAAATACTTCCTGCAGTTTAAAAGTTCTTAAAAGTAAAATTAGATGCACTGATACTACCATCCTTTTATATGACAAATAATATTGTGTATTCACTAGACCTAATAATAAAATAGTATAAAATGTTAATTTGTCTAGAAAATATACATTATTCTTTAATCCTTTATATTAGCAAAATGTTCTTATGTAAGAAGAAATGTAACATTTTCTAAGAACGTAGTAGAGAATCTTTTGGTTTAGAAAAATGTCATTAAAAAAATATTGTTTTTATATGTCATTAAATTTAACTTAGAGATCTGGAAGAAGATCCATTATTTACTGACATTTCACCAGAAAACACTTTGTCAAACCAAGAGTGGCTTAGTTCTTCACCTCCTGCTACTCCAGACCACCCCAAAAATGATGGGAAAACTGAAGTTCATAAAATTGTAAATAGGTGAGTTGCTATATAAAATTTGACTTCCATCTCTTTTTTTTTAATTTTTAAATTTTTGTATATTTATTATTATAACTTTTGAGATGGAGTCTCACTCTGTTGCCTATACTGGAGTACAGTGGCACAGTCTCTGCTCACTGTGACTTCTGCCTCCTGGGTTTAAGCAAGTCTCCTGTCTCAGCCTCCTGAATAGCTAGGGATTGCAGGCTCCCAACATATCACTTAGCTAAGTTTTATATTTTTAGTAGAGATGAGGTTTCATCCTGTTGGCCAGGCGGGTCTCAAACTCCTGACCTTAAGTGATCCCACCGCCCCAGCCTCCCAAAGTGCTGGGATTAGAGGTGAACTACCAGGCCTGGCCTCTCTTTTACTTGTTTTTATAACATAAAAGAGCTCTGCTCTTAGATGGTTACAGAAATCTCTTATGTACTTAATCTTCTTTAAAGATTTGTCAATTTTGTCTTACTTATGTAACAAGTACCAGCCTGGGGGCAACACCTGATACTAAGATAAAAGCTCTGCTTAACATTAACAGTGGTTAAATGATCCCTCAAAGTAACCTCGCCCCCTCCTTTTTTGAGACGGAGTCTCGCGGTGTCGCCCAGGCTGGAGTTCAGTGGTACGATCTCGGCCCACTGTACCTGGGCTTACTGCAACCTCTGCCTTCCGGGTTCAAGTGATTCTCCTGCCTCAGGCTCCTGAGTTGCTGGGATTACAGGTGTGTGCCACCACAGCTGGCTAATTTTTGTATTTTTTGGAGAGACAGGGTTTCACCATGTTGGCCAGGCTGGTCTCGAACTCCTGACTTCAAGTGATATACCTGCCTTGACCTCCCAAAGTGCTGGGATTACAGGTGTGAGCCACTGTGCTGGGCCATCCCATTTTTTTTTTTAAATATAAATGATTTAATTTTAAGTAATTCCCTATTGTAACAACATTGAGAATTGCTGGTTTGATAAAATTTATAAAACGTGTGCTAAATGTTGTTGGGCTGTTCCTTTTTGTTAGTTCATGGTTTTATGTTTTTTTAAAAGTGCCCTTTTCTGTGGCAACTTTTTTCTCTCTTTTGCTTCCCTTGCAGGCCTAATAGAACTAATAGGCCTGGTTCTAACAGGTTATTTTAGAGAAAAATTGCATGTGGCTCAAGATGCAAAATTAGGGTACATAAAAATCTCAAGTTCAATTACTTAAAACCAGTTTCCTAAGATTAACAAACACCATGGCAATCTGTCATTATACAGCAATCTAAGAGGGGAAAAAAAAAGTCTTTCTTAGACTCACTGCTATTTTAAGTGGAATCAGTAATTTTTAAATAAAACGTTTAAAATAATGAGAATATTTAATCAGTGAGTTACAAAACTCATTCAACATAAGGAATTAACAATATACGATTTCATTTTTTAGGTTTCCATTTGTATTAACGCTTAGCTGAACTTACAATATCACTAGATACTTTCACCATGTTGGTGAAATACTTATAAAGTTATTATTGAATTGTGAGAGTATTGTTGATTATGACCTTTTTCACTTTTACTTTCTGTTTTTCTTTTTTTCATGCAAATGGACATCTTGCATAATTGTGGCCTTTTTCATTTAAGTTTTCTCTGTCTGGTACCGGATGAAGCAAAATCCTCCTACCATGTCGAGGGCACTGGATATGACACCTACCTCCGAGATGCTCATAGGCAGGTAGGTGAAGTCACTAAACTTTGGAAATGAAACCTAAGAATACACACACACACACACACACACACACACACACACAAACACACACCCCTTGTCACTCTGCCTACCACCACTGTTCCAAGGAAATTAGTTCATTCTTACTAAAAATGAAACCTGGGTCAGGTGTGGTGGCTCACGCCTATAATCCCAGCACTTTGGGAGGCCAAGGCAGATGGATCACTTGAGGTCAGGAGTTTGAGACCAGCTTGGCCAGCATGGTGAAACCCTGTCTCTACTAAAATACAAAAATTAGCTGGGTGTGGTGGCCTGTAGTCCCAGCTACTCGGGAGGCTGAGGTAGGAGAATCACTTGAACCCGGGAGGTAGAGGTTGCAGTGAGCCAAGATCCTGTCATTCCACTCCAGCCTGGGCAACAGAGTGAGACTCTGTCTCAAACAAAAAAGAAAAATAAGGTCTGGTCTCTGCTCTCACCTCTTTTGCTTTGTGTAAGTGACCTTAGTTTGCACTTCACCGATTGTATCTCTGTGTCAAGATTTCTTTATGCTCTTTTAATTTTTTCCCACTTTAAATTATGTCTCACTGGGATCCATTTCTCCTACTGATCCAAAACATGATATCTGAACAATTCTGCCCACCACGCATGCTCGATCGCCATCCTCAGGCTATTATTCTTTTCTCCACCATTCTGATGCAGACAGTGATATACAAGTATAGTCCCTGCTGCCCAGCGCTTGCTCCTTCAGCCCCTGCCCTCTACCTTTCTACCTCACTCAGATGACTTGCTCGAAGGGTTGCTCTTAGTTATTAAATTAAGGAGACTTTCTCATTCTTCTTTCCTCTTTATAGCATTTTACATTGTAAGATTTTTAAAATTGTATTTAAAAACTTCATCCTACAAAGAAAACTTGTCCTGAGATAAAATTCAACATTTTAACTATTTTAAATGTACAATTTAATTTTTTTTAGTATATTCACAATGTTATGTAGCCATCATCACTAAAGCCAGAAGATTTTTGTCACCCCAGAAAGAAACCCTGTGCAAATCAAGCAGTCACTTCTTATTGACTCCTCCTCCCTGCCAACCCCCAGTTCCTGACAACCACTCATCTACTTTTCATTTCTATGGCTTTGCCTATTCTGGACATTTCACAAAAATGGAATCATACTATATGTGGCTCTTTGCGTTGGGCATTTTTACTCAGCATAATGTAATGTTTTCAAGGTTCATTCAAGTTGAAGCATGCATCAGTACTTCCTTTCTTTTTATGGCTGAATATTTTATTGTACAAGTATTTTGATTATTTGTCAGTTAATGGACATTTAAGTTGTTTCTACTTTTTTGTTATTATGATTACTTCTGCTGTGAATATTCCTTTTTTGTTGAATATAGGCTTTCCATTTTCTTAGGTATATGCTTAGTAGTAAAATTGATGGGTCACATACTAATTCTATATTTCACTTTTTCGAGTAACTGCCCCCACTGTTTTCCACAGTGTTGGCACCATTTGACATCATACCAGCAGTGTATGGGGTTCTAATTTCACCATTTCCTTGCCAATACTTACCATTATTTTTAAATTATAGCTACCCCAGTAGGTATGAAGTAATGTCTTCTTGTGGCTTTCATTTACATTTTCTTATGACTAATGATGTTGAGTACCTTTTCATGTACTTAGCAGACACTTGTACTCTTCTTTGAAGAATACATCCTGGCCAAGTGTGGTGACTCACACCTGTAATCCCAGCACTTTGGGAGGCCAAGACAGAAGGATCACTTGAAGCCAGAAATTTGAGACCAGCCTGGACAATCCCCTTTTTACCAAAAATTTTTAAATAAATTATCCACGTGTGGTGGCACCCACCTGTAGTCCCAGCTACTTTGGAAGCTGAGGCAGGAGGACTGCTTGAGCCCCAGAGTTTGAGGCTACAGTGACCTATGCTGGTGCCACTGCACTCCAGCCCCTGGGCAACAGAGCAAGACCCTGTTCCCCCAAAATAAATAAATAAATCATTTGCCTATATTTTAATTGGGCTACTTGTCTTTTTATTGTTGAGTTGTAAGGATCCCTTATATATTCTGCGTAGGCGATCCTTATCAGATATATTATTTACAAATATTTTCTCCCATCTGGGAGTTGCCTTTTCACTTTCTTGATAGTGTCCTTCTACACACAGAAGTTTTACTTTTGTTACTTTTGGTTTGTTTGTGTTTTTTGTTGTTATTGTTGTTTTGAGACAGTCTAGCTCTGTCGCCCAGGCAAGAATGTAGTGGCGCGATCTTGGCTTACTGCAACCTCTGTCTCCTGGGTTCAAGCCGTTCTCGTGCCTCAGCCTCCCGAGTAGTTGGGATTGCAGGTGCACCACCACACCCAGCTAATTTTTGTAGTTTTAGTAGAGATGGAGTTTCACCATGTTGTCTAGGGTGATCTCGAACTCCTGGCCTCAAGTGATTCTGACCCCTTTGGCCTTTCAAAGTGCACAGATTACAGGTGTGAGCCACTGTACCTGGCCAAAAGTTTTTAATTTTGATGAAGTACAACTTAACTATTTTTTCTTTGTGCTTTTTCTGACATACCTAAGAAATCATTGCCTAACCAACATTACATAGATTTTCATGTAAGTCTCTAAGAATTTCATAGTTTTAGTTTATCCACTTAGGTCTTTGATCTATTTTGAGTTCATTATTGTACATAGTGTTTTACATGTAAACATCCAGTTGTCTCTGCAGCAGTTAGTGAAAAGTCTATTTTCCATTTATTGGCTCTAAGTGTAAAGTTTATTTGAGGAGTTTCAATTCTATTCCACTGACCTATGTATCTGTCCATATCCCAGCACCACCCTGTTTTAATTACTTCAGCTTTGTAGTAAGTTTTGAAATTGAGAAGTATGAATGTTCAACTTGATTCTTTCTGAAAATCATGTTGGCTATTTGTAGTCCCTTATAATTCCATGTGAATTTTAGGATTACTTTGTCCGTTTCTACAAAACAACAACAACAGCAGCAACAACAACAAAAAAAAGGTAGTTGAAATTTTTGTAAGGCTTATTACATTGAATCTGTAGATCGCTTGGAGGAGTGCAGCCATCTTAACAATATTAAGGTTTCCAGTTCACAAACACCAAATATTTTTCCATTTACTCAGGTTCTCTTTAATATTATTCAACAGAATTTCATAGTTTTCAGTGTACAAGTCTTGCACTTTCTTCTTTAAATCTATTCCTGAGCATTTTATTCTTTATTGTAAGTGAAATGATTTTGTGAACCTCATTTCTGATTGTTCTTTCCTAATGTAGAAGTACTGCTGGTTTTTGCGTATTGAGTTTCTATCCTGTAACTTCGCTGAGCTGTTTAAACCACTCCCCGACCCCCAACCCCAGCCCCCGCCATTCAAAAGTTTATCTTTTTTAAGGCTTCTGCAACATCATTCTTTGCTCCTGAAGCTTTTAGGTCTCAGGTGTCATTTTTATTCTGTCCTCCATATTAATGATGTGGCCAAAAAAAAAAAAAAAAATCTATCATTGGCCCTCTTTTCTATCTTCATTCCTTTGATATTCTTTTGGTTTAGCATTCATCTCTATGGTGAATTCCATATCTGAAGTATTCCCAAAGCTCTAGCCTCAGTCACTTAGATGTTCTTCTGAGACCTCAGACTTTCTCTTTCCAAAGTAAAACTTATCATTGATTCCTCTAAAACTGCGTCTGCTCCTTTGTTTCCTGCTGTGGTCAGTGGAACATCCATCCTTCTGGTCATCCAAGGTTTGTGTTTCAGAGTTGTCTGGGATTCATTCATCTTCCATTCTCCTTGGCCTCTAGTCTTCTGCCAAGTTGTATCAGTGTTTCCCGTACTATACTTCTGCTGTCTGCCCCCTTCTCCATTTTTGCTTTTGGAGTCCTAGTTTGCATTGTATTACCTCTGCCAGGATTGCAGTAACTTCATAACTTCTTTCCTCAGCTTGTTCCTTCTACTTAGAAGCCATTAACAGATTAATCTCATTCAAGTGTGGATCTGAGAACCCCTTATACTTTATTAACTCATAAACTGTAAATACTTAGACATCAAATCTTAGAATTCAGGATCTTTTTGGATGAATTTTCCAGCGTTTTATCTTTATTTCTTGCTATGACTTTCGCTCACTATCCTAATCTAACATTTACATGCATTTATTGATGCTATTCTGTTTGCCTACAAGTTTTCCTCTTATTTCTCACCTACAATGTGATATCTATATTCCTACACTGTCTTCAATATCCAGATTAAATGCCACCTCGTGATTTATTCTTTTTGCCCTCTTCCTCCTCTCCCTCCCCAACAGTAAAGGTAACTACTTCTTTTTATGCTCGTGGCATTATCTCTGATCTTTTGTGGTCCTTTGTGTTTTCTTTCTTGTATTGGGGTCTAAGGTAATCAGTCTCTTGTGGGTAGGATTCATACTTGACCTACCATTGAATCCCACAAAAATGTAGTGTAGAGCCTTATACATTTTACAATATCAGTAACTATTTAGTATTTGTTGAATAAATAAACAGAATAAAATATTTCACATTTTGAAAGTGAATTTTAAAATGTAAATAGTCTAAATTTTGAAATTTCTCAAATCTAAAAAATGTACATTTAATTTTTATTTAAATTATTTGGATTGAAGTATGCTATTATGTATAACTAATCTGCATATGCATGTAGTTAATTTGTAATACTTTAACTCAAGTCCACATTAATACATGAATTCATCTGCGTTAATACATGAATAAATTAATAGAGTAGCAAGTAACATTCAAATAATAAGTAAACACAATAAAAGTAAAACATATCTTTCAGCAGTACCAATTGGATTTTTAAACTGTTTTTATTCTTTCTGTAAAGTTTATCTCATTTCCATTTTGTGATAACAAATGCAGTTATTATAGTTGTTTCAGAAATATCATAAAAATAAGAAGGATAAAAGAAATTAAAATATTTCCAAGTCAGAATATAAAAGGTCTTAATATAAAAATGATTTATTAAAAATTGAGATTTGGCTTTATATAGAAAATAATCTGTTGAAAGCCAAAGAGTTTAAAACTTGTGATATATTGAAGAAACAGGCTTTTTAATTGTTCTAAATTTTAAAAATTGAATTTAGTGTTTCATGGTAATAATGTGTTTCGTTTTAATTCCAGGTAATTTATAAACTAGAGAGGTCAAAGTAATTTTGCTTTATTAAATCAGGAGAATCTGAAGAGGGAATGAATATGGGAGAAAATAGTGCTTTAAATTTCTTTTGATTAAATTCATTTGGGGGAGACTTTTAAAATTCATTTTTATTATATGAAATATTCTTGTGCTTATACATATTCATAATGTTTGTTCCAGTGATAACTATCTGTAGTGAAAGACCAGGGTTTTTAAAAAATTATTTCCAGTTTGTCACAGACCAACACTTTTGTAAAATACAATAAAAATGAATTCCTGGCTGGGTGTTGTGGCTCACATGTATAATCCCAGCACTTTGGGATCCCAAGGTGGGTGGATCACCTGAGGTCCAGAATTCGAGACCAGCCTGACTAACATGGAGAAACTCAATCTCTACTAAAAATACAAAATTAGCTGGGCATGGTGGCTCATGCCTGTAATCCCAGCTACTTGAGAGGCTGAAGTAGGAGAATCGCTTGAACCCGGGAGGTGGAGGTTGCAGTGAGCCAAGATCACACCATTGCACTCCAGCTTGGGCAACAAAAGCAAAACCCCATCTCAAAAACAAAACAAAACAAAATAAAAATTCCTGTTATAGAAAAATGTAAAGAAAAAAAGACAATACAAACCCTGATTCTTTTATAGTTAGATTCAACAGACATAAAACTCTTCATAGTCAAATTGTTGGGAACGTTTTTAAGTGCTTGCTCTTTCTTTTTGTGCTCATCTCATTGTGGATAGCAGTGAACACTTTGAGAACCAGCACTGGTCCGTGGACCACCTCTGAGTAGCACTGTTTGATCCTATCATAACATTATGCCTAGTGCACATCCATTCTAGGAACGGCAAGCTTGTCTTCTCAGATAACATGCATCATCTGTTGTATAAACCATTTTAGAATAAATTTGAAAACTTGGCTAGGTCTGACTTTGCTTTTTAAATGTCCTCTAAATCTGTGATGAAAATAACTAAAAGATTAAATTCCTTTAAAGGAAAGAGATGTTAGGGGTATTTTAGTAAAGTTAAAATATGTCTTTTTTTCATCAACTCATATTGGTACCAGCAGTTAATATCTTACCTGTGCGCCTAGTCACAGAAAGATCTGAATCATCTCTTCCCCCTCTCCCTTGGCACCTCGAGCATAGCAGACATTCTGCATTCAAATGGTTTTTTATATGCCTATTTGTGGAAATCATTTCTATTTCATCTCAATTTGTTTTTGTTAGTTCTTTAATGATTCACATGCTTTTTTCCCCCTAGTTCCGGGACTACTGTGCTATCTGCTTAAGGTGGGAGTGGCCTGGGTCTCCAAAAGCATTGGAAAAGTGCAATTTAGAAGCAGCTTTCTTTGAAGGTCATTTTTTGAAAGTGCTATTTGACAGAATGGGAAGAATTCTTGATCAGGTAATATATTTTAAAATACTAACTTTTATGTTATTTTGTTGCCATTCATCATGGAATCATCTCAAGTCTTAGTAGATCTTTAATAAAGTACTTTTATTGGTTTCTTACTTTTTCCACTGGATGACTTTTTCTTGAAGCTTGAATGCCAACAACTGGCAGATTCTGATGCATTCTGTATGTTAAAAACATTTATTTGGCCTGATGGCTGCTACAGCATTGTTTATTTTACTTCTCATGATAGGCCATTGCCTTAATATCCTTAACACATTTTGGAGATGGTTAGAAGTGCTTTCCTTTTATGACTTGCTTAGCCTTTTAGTTAGTACATTTAGTACAAATACAGATGCTCAATTTAGAAGACCCTAAATGTCATTTTAGATTGAATCTTAAACACTCTGGTCTGCATAAAATTACAGAATAGTGTTAGATGAACCTGCCTTTTTAGACAAAGCTTGTGAATGATATTCATTTTCATAAGGGAGAGGTGAAATAAAAAAGGCTAATGCACTCCTCTAAAGGTGGATAAAAATCACCATCAGCTGACAGGTTGCTATGTACATCTCATCTGACCGTCAGGATAAATGAATTTGGGATTATGGAATCCCTCCTTCCATCTCTCATTGGCTCATAAGCGTGGTGATGAGAGGGCTTTGAAATGCCTGACCCATTGGAATATAAACCTAAAATAACACAACTAGCATAGTACTTTCCTCAGTATAGAAACTGAGTTGACCAATTTGGAATTAATTTTCAATTGTAAATTAAAGTACTTGTTCTTTTTCTTTTTCTTTCTTTCTTTATTTTTGCTTGGTTCTGGGAACAAAGTACTTGTTCTTTTTTAGCATCATTTTAGTTAAATATTTATGTGAGCATAGGGAGTTATAAAAGAAATTTACTAAATAGACTATCTTCAATAACCAGAAAGTCAAATGAAGAAATTATAATGTAAGAAGTATTTCACTATGTTAGAGTTTAGTCTGCATTGTTTTCGACAATAATCTGTATGAGAGACCAGGTCTTTTTTTTTTTTTTTTAACCTCTTAATAACATGTGCTGTATTTCTAGTGTTGCTTGGTTGGTTGTTTTAAACCTGACAACCAATGTATGCAAATCTGGCAATAGGTATTATGGCCTATATATCATGGCTGTGCAAACCTCCTGGGTAGCCAGGATTCATCAGAGTGTGTGTGTGTGTGTGTGTGTGTTTGAGCCAGTTTGCTAGGTGTAGTTTAAATTTGCTTAAGCTAACAAGCAAGAGGTATAACAATGAGTATCAAGACAGTAATATTTAGAAATTTTGATCAAAATTACTAAAAAATAATCTAAATTTTAAAAAGTAGTTTCTGAATTGAAAGCTCCACCCTGTATCTTCATACTTGAACATTTTTTCTATAGTTTGTAGAGTGCTGACACAAAATAATACATTGAAAACAGAATATCTGAAATGCTTAAAATACTTCTCAGTTTCACCAGATAGTAATTCATAGCACAGAGCTGATTCATACACTGTCTCAATCATTCTTCCTGTAACCCTGTATCCTAGACAAGACAGATTTCTGGTATTACTTTACAAATGAGGAATCCTTGGTCTCAGTTATGTGACTTCCAGCTAGTAAGCTATGGAGCCCAGCCTAAAACCTTTTGTCTTTGAAACTCCTGAGCTGGGTGCTGAGGGGCACACCTGTCATCCCAGCTACTCAGGAGCCTGAAGCAGGAGGCTTGCTTGAGCCCAGGAGTTCAAGGCTGTAGGACTGAACCTAAGGATACTGTGTCTAAGGATAGCCACTGCACGCTAGCCTAGGCAATATGGTTGAGACTCTGTCTCTAAAACAAAGTAAAAACCAAACAAACCCTTGATTTTCCAAGCCTTTTTAGTAAGAACATGGTATCGTCTGATCTCAAAGATACAGCACAAGTCCTGGGAAGCTAAGCATTTTTGGCCTAGGTTTATTTTCTTTATTTCCTAAACATTTTTGCCAAGGGTGATACTTGCTTGTGTTTTATTTCTCTCTCTCTCTCTCTGTCTTCTTCTTTTTCTTTTCTTTTTTTTTTTTAGACAGAGTCTCACTCTGTTGCCCAGGCTGGAGTGTAACAGCATAGTCTCAGCTCACTGTAACACCGCCCCGCAGCCCCTGACCCAAGCAGTTCTCCTGTCAGCCTCCCGGCCTCCCAAGTAGCTGGGATTACAGCCACCTGCCACCACACCTGGCTAATTTTTGTATTTTTAGTAGAGACAGAGTTTCACCATATTGGTCAGGCTGGTCTCAAACTCCTAACCTCAGGTGATCCACTTGCCTCAGCCCCCCAAAGTCCTGGGATTTGTAGGCATGAACCACCATACCCGGCCTTCTTTCTTCTTTTCTCTTTTTCTTTTTTTTTTCCTCTTTGGCAGGGCATTTTCTTAGTAATATATTGCTAATGGGGTCTAGGTAACCTGGCTGAGATTAAAATTTAGTATGAATGGTTTGGAAATTGGCTAATGTCTTCATGCATGGTTGAGAAGTTATGGTATCAAGTATTCATAACACTATTGTGTTATCACAATGTTAATTAAAAAATTATAATGAAAACATTTACTATTGTTTGTAATGGTGGTGATTTTAAGAAGATAGTGAAATACTGAAGTCCATAGTCGAATGTAAAGAACACTGGGAACATTATAAGGAGGCCAAATCTTGTCTCTGCCCTGTGCGTGATGAGTTTGAATTTGATCAAGTAACTTAGCTAGTAGTCACATTTTCTAATTGCTAAGGTGAAGTTGATACTACTTTTTTAAGTCAGAGTTTATTATCTCAAAATTTGAGTTCAGTCCAAAAACATGGGCCAAGCCCATTTGGCACATCAGAGAAATCTGGCTTGCTTTCCTGTCAGGTAAATACTGCGTAAAGTATAAAATAAAGGGACCTCCAATAATAGATATAAACACTTAACTATCAACAACCTCCAAAAAAGCCAGCTTGTTTTAAAGTTATCACCAATAGGAAGTAGAGACCATTTCAGAGTGCAGTGCAACAATTTTATCTTGCTGAAATTTATTTTCATTTCTACAACATTAAGAAATAATTGTGTCAGCCTTAAATTTCTTAAGCAACCTATGACCTAGATTTATGTTAAAATAAACTATAAACCAAAGTAACACAACAAAGAGAAAATACAAAGTCTAACTAGTAATATGTTTGTTTAAAGCCAAATTGTATTGATTTACTTATTTAAGCACCAACAGATGGCAAAATTTAGTGACCTAAAAATCTTAACTACCTGCAGTGAAGAGTCATGTACAATTCTAAACTTAAGTTGTATTTAGAATTTTTTTCTACCTTTTTTTAATGAAATGCATTATTTTAAATTATTTTTTGTAAATGATTTCTTCATACCTAAAACACAATTTAATGTGAATTCATTGTTTATTATGAGTTGAGTCTCAGAGGAAGGCTATTCTGTTGTAAATATTATCAAGGGGGGAGGAATGGAGAGAAGTTGGTTAATGGGTACAAAAATCCAGTTAGAAGGAATAAGTTCCAGTATTCAGTGGTACAGCAGGGAAATTAGTTAACGCAATTGTATATTTCAAAGGAGCTAGAAGAGAATTGTGATGTTCCCAACACAAAGAAAAGATAAATGTTGGAGTTGATGGATGTCCCAGTTACCCTAATTTGATCATTATACATTACACATTGTGAAATGTATCAAAATATCACATGGACTCCCAAAATAGGTACAATTATGGTATATCAAAAAAATACCAAAGAGCCCCCAAGTATTACTAAGTAGGAAAATATACTCTTAAACTATTCTTTATTAGAAATACATATTTCTTTTCCATTTCCTTGCTTACAGCTAGGTTTTGGGGGGAAGAAATGACTCGGGGCAGTTTTTATTCTTTAAAAAAAAAAATCTGTGTTCATGAATCTAATAGTAAATTAGAAAGACTAAAATTGGCCTGACAGCATAAGACTTGGGAGTTTTTGTTTATGTAACAAAACATGTTCGTCACGGTGTTTGTAGCTGTGGTGATTTTAAAAAGATAGTAAAATGCAAAAGTCTGTAGCAGAACTGGCATATGCGTGAGCATTCTCCACTAAATGCCAGGGATTCACTTCGTCATTGCTATTCGCTGTGATCAAGGGTTTGCAGGTGGTTCAGTGGCTGAGAGTAAATCATTCCAATGTGGCGGCTGATATTGCACTTGGTCCTGACTCCTTCTTCCCTCCTCTGTGCTGCACGTCTGTGTCTCATTCTTGCCACCTGGATTCTCTGCAGGCTCCTCCCTGTAGTTAGTTTTGTCCGACCAATCCATTCCCTTTGGTTGCTTAGAAGAAGCAAACTGGAAGGGGTAAGAAGTTTCTGTTGAAAGTTCTCAGCAAGTGGTAGCAACTCTTTGTGTAAAGCTCCTTTCTGTGAAGACTAAACAAACAACTAGAATTCAAGTAAAATTGTGATATTACATACAAAACAAGTGTGAGGAACTGTACACAGATTTATAGCTGTTTGGGGAAAGTTAACAGTCATTCAAGAAATGAGATGATCCCTCTCTGTAATCACCATTTTGAACCTTCTCCTTCACTTTGAGGCATACGGTCATCATCAGTTCTATCCCCAAGTACTTTCATTCTGTTGACAGGGTTCTGTGATTTGACTTTATTTTACTGTATATGTGTTTTTAGGAATTGACACTAGTTGAATAATCTGAGGTGAGGAATATCATTTCTAAAATTCTATTACTATATTTAAAAAGATGTAATATCTTCCCTTCTTGTTCTTTGAGCTTCTGCTCAGTGGGTCCTCTGTAATTAATATTATATATGACACACCGGTGCTTTTTTATGACCTCTGGAACAATTTCCTTAATTGAATCAACCCGCATAAAATAAACATTCTGACTATGTCATGTTATTTGTCCCTATGTGTTTATAAGCTTGCTTTTTAAATTTTTTTTTTTTTGTAAATGTTAGGGCTGTGATGTATGTAATTTGACTGAGATGATGAGAGCTAGTTTAGTTGTAGATATTTTCATTGCAGAAGAGCATGTGGAGCAGGGAGGAAGATGGTGGATTCACCTTTCTTTTTTTCTTTTCTTTCTTTTTTTTTTTTTTTTGAGAAGGAGTTTCGCTCTTGTTGCCCAGGCTGGAGCACAATGGCACGATCTCAACTCATCACAACCTCCATCTCCCAGGTTCAAGCGATTCTCCTGCCTCAGCCTCCCGAGTAGCTGGGATTATAGGCATGTGCCACCGTACCCAGCTAATTTTGTATTTTTAGTAGAGATGGGGTTTTTCCTTGTTGGTCAGGCTGGTCTTGAACTCAGGACCTCAGGTGATCCACCCACCTTAGCTTCCCAAAGTGCTGGGATTACAGGTGTGAGCCACCGCACCTGGCCAGATTCTCCTTTCTTAAAAAGATAAATTGAAGTAGTAAATTAAGTGCACAGGTACACATTATGGTTAAATGTCTTTCTGTTTTCACTTCTCCGTAGCCATATGATGTAAACTTACAAGTGACCTCGGTGTTATCTAGACTTTCTCTCTTCCCTCATCCACACATCCACGAGTACCTTTTGGATCCTTACGTGAACCTCGCCTCTGGCTGTAGATCTCTCTTCTCTGTAATTGTCAGGGTGAGTTACTAGTTCTCTATTTCCTAGGATTGATAAATCTGTTCAATTAATGTTTATATCATTGTATGCAGTTAGTGTCACATAATGAAAAATATATCTACTGCTTAAAAGCAATTATACATTCTGAACTTTTAAAAATTATTTGAAATCATATATGTATAACTTTTATTTTAAAGAATTAGATATGAGTCCTTGGTTAAAAATGATTATATGAGTAGTGGAAGTTTACGTTCTTTATTAAATAGCAGGGAATGAAGTTTTTTTTATTTTTTAAATCCTGAGATTGTCTATGTAGTTGATTTCAGGAACTGAAGTGCCTTACCTCTGTGATACAGGTTGTTGGAGACCTTATGCTTCGAATCCAGCGTATTCAAGACTTTACTCCCAAGCTTCTGTTAGTCAGAAAGCGATTACTTGGTTTGGAACCTGAGGGCCCTATGTAAGTTAGTGTTTTACATTTTTTTAATCCAAAAATTTCAGTGAACTTAATGATCTGCTGATATCTTGAACTGATTGATTGTCTGTTTTCCCCTTACCAGTATTGACCACATCACACTGCTAGAGGGTGTGATTGTGTTAGAAGAGTTCTGTAAGGAGCTGGCGGCAATTGCATTTGTGAAATACCATGCTTCCTCCACACCGTAAATAACGTCTTTCAAGTAACTAGGGGAACAGAACTACTGTGTACATGTCATCAAAAAAGACTCAGTTCCACCCAGCCACAAGAGGATAAAAAAGCCTTTCCTTTTTAAACATAGTATTGCTGTAAACTGGACAGAACCATTAAGAACCCATTGAGTGGACATTCTGGTAAAATGTTGTATAGTGTTGTTTTCATTGGCTTTATCGTAATGGTTCTATAATATAAAATTGCACATTGTTGAATCCAGGATACAATCAAAGGAACTTCAGGAAATAAGCGTTTCTAATGACTGTTTGAAAAGCTGCAATATTTCTGATGTCATGACTTTGATGATATTTCTGTTATTTTAATATCCTTTTAGGTAGCAAGGCATTTTGACATTCTCTGGGACTCAATTGCATATATTCTTTTGGATTAATAAGTAGCAAAAAAATCACTAATTTTATAACTTTTTAAGGTCAGAATTCTTATCAAACAAAATATGAAAAAAACTGTACATGAGGAAAAAATACAATTCAGAAACCATTGAATTAATTGATTATAGGATATAAAAACATGTAGAGCACCATTAACTTTCTTCAGCTTTTTTAAGAATAACAATTTAATATGATAAAGAAATTCTTGATTAATATATATATTTTTAAAGAAATGTTCTTTTACTCTTTTGTGCACATAGCCATGTTAGTGATTATTTTTTTCATGTATGGGTCCCAGTTTATTTCAACTGTGTCATTTTCACAACAATGTTGAATTTATGCTCACCATTGGTAGTGTTTGCTAAAATTGTATTTTTTTAAGCTAAGTAACGTGTACTGGGTCACAAACCTTTCTCCCCCCTCTCCCTCTCAGAAAATTGCTTTATAAAATTGCTTTATAATTTGATTTTCTTATCGAAACGCATGGTGGTGTTTAGGTGGGGAGCTGACTGATAATCTGTAAGCAGCAATCAAAATGCCATTGGCTCCTTGATGTTTACATTTTTTTCTATTTTGTCCAGTCTTTTGTTTTAAGTGATTCTAAAGAGATTAAAGAAAACAGACTTTTAAATGTCCTGTTTACATGTTAAAGGATTTGAGGAAATTGGGCATGTATGTGAATGGGTATACATGTAGGAACCTGTAGTTGAGCAAAGCTGCGCTGGGCACAGCATGCTTCTACTTGATTGACAAAATCGTGTTTGCTAGTCCACTTCCTATTTTTCCTTTAAGTGATGCTGATCACTCAAATACTGCTTTTAAGCTATTGTTTGTTTTTATTTGAAATGTTAAGCAGCAGCACTTTCCTCTTGATCTTTCCATTAACTGATATTTGTGGGGAAAGGCTATCAAAGGTTCCAGCTTGTAGGGAACTGTCACTACCCCCTTTAGGAAGTGATTTCATGTAGCATGTTTGCATATATACATTGTGTGGCGTGTGCATAAAGGCTTGTCTTACACCTGTCTGCTCATTTTGTTGTATTAGCTTTTCTGGTTTATTTTATAGTTTGTTTTTGCTATTTATTAAGAACAGAATATCAAAAGATTATGAATCGCTTCAGCTCTAGAATACTTACCACTATTAAAACAGCAAAAAAGATTACACTTCTAATTTCATGCAAATCTTTGTTAGCTTATTCTAAGATAATCATTAAGCAAAACAAAGAAAAAACAAAAGTGGGAGATAGTTATTTTGTGCATGATTTTCTTTAAGTCATTTTGAATGCTGTGAAGGCATTATTCAGTTTGCTGTATTTTTTAAATCACTTTGTACAAGGAACACTTCAACATTTCCATTTCTAGATGTAGTGACAGTCTACTTTGATGTACGCGTATTTAAACTAAGGCATTAAGAGATACTAGGATTTCTTAATGTTTCACTAGTGCTCAATAGGTGTAGTAGCAATGATATTACCTCTGAAACCAAATACTCTTTTATCCTTGATTTCACTATGGGACCTTATAACTAATCCATGAAACCAAGCTCAGAAAAGCTTTAACTCATATATTTGTGTATGTGTATGCTGCTTCTGAAAATATAATTTTCCTAAGTTATTGTAATGACTTTAATTTGTAATCAGCTAAGGCTTAATATTTCATTTCTTTTTCTTTTCTTCTTTTTTCTTTTATATGTAGTTCAGACCTAGAGCCAGTACAAGCTCTCACAGTGAGTTCATTTGTTAGTGAAACACTGTACTGCATCACTAGTCTTTCTTACTGTCTGCTGACAGCTGACTGTTTGTTACTCAGTACTTGCAAAAACAATGACTAAGATGCCCTGTGTTGAGTGGAAAGCACCATCATAACAATTGATTGCCATAGGAAGTTCCAAAGCGAGTTTCAGCCTTGCTTCACATTGGTATCAATATGCACATTTTAAAAAACTTTCTCACAATATAGTCTCTGGGTCTGTTTTTAGTTATGAGCCACATTCTTTACTGGATTGAACTCAGATTTGTCTTAGCCTATTGTCATATAGTACTCACCTTCTTACTATGTAACATTCTCATAATGTATCTGTTTGTGCAATATGGAAGCTGTGATTGGATTCATAGCTTTTTGGTTTAATTGTACATTATTGGGTATGTACATATGTATATATGTATATATATGAACCAAAATTCTTAGCTCGCTTACACTGTTGCTAGTGTAAAGATTGTTACACTTAATTTTACAGGGCACGAATTATGGAATTACTTCATAAATTCATGGTAATGTTAACATAAATTATTGCATTAGTGTACAATTACCATTTAATTATGAAGTCCATCAGTATTGACAGAAGAAGTTACAATGAAATGCTAAAACCACAAATTCTATTTTGGGTTGTATAGTAAATCAAATGTGCATGTCATAGTGACACTTGATGTGTTAAAACATGGTAGATGATCACATTTCTGGGCCCTGTAAAATAGTGTTACTGTAATACTCTGTTTTGCCTCCTGCCTTGTTTACATTAAACAGGATATTTGGTAAATTTTTTGTATTGAGCGTTGTGTAGGTTACTGACAGTGTTACCAGAGTCTGAAATTCTTGGTCCATCCGTGGAGAGACTCTTCAGATGGTCATTGTGTACCTACTCTCTCTTCAAAGGAAGTTGTGATCAAGTTCAACTTTTTGTGCTAACAATGCATGCAGGACTAAGAGGGATGATCTTAAAAATAAATAACATAACTTAAACAAAACGTCTTATGATTTTGTAAAATTCTAATTGGGAACATTTTATCCAGTGATAAATCTCAAACAACAACTCTTAACTTTTTGCACCCCTGACACACAAAGGAATATGGCATACTACATACAGTCGGTGTGGGTCACTATAGTACTCTAGGGAGAGGATAAAAAGCAATGTGTCTATTTGTGGAGGAGAGATGTGTAGCTTGAAAAATTCCCCCAGGTAAACCTCACATGTATTCTCCACTTTCCTTCTTAATAATCATTGCCCAAAAGGAAGGAATGTTTGTGCATGTCTCAGAGAAACCATTTATTCTAAGCATTATTTCCTTTTTTTCGAGACAGAGTCTCCTTCTGTCGCCAGGCACCAGACTGGAGTGCAGTGGCATGATCTCGGCTCACTGCAACCTCCACCTTCCGGGTTCAAGCAATTCTGCCTTAACCTCCCAGGTAGCTGGGACTATATGCACATGCCACCACGCCCAGCTAATTTTTTTGTATTTTTCGTAGAGACAGGGTTTCACCATATTGACCAGAATGGTCTTGATCTCTTGACCTCATGATCCATCTGCCTCGGCCTCCCAAAGTGCTAGGATTACAGGCTTGAGCCACTACGCCAAGCCTTCTAAGCATTATTTCTTAATATTTCTCTAACACATATAAAAATGTTTCTCTTTAGCTGACATTTAAAATAATTAGACTCTAGACTTATTCTACTCGAGTATTTGCCAGTTTCTGAATTGGAAACAAAGACACATGAAATACACAACACAACCAGAAAGAGAAAAAGCCAGTGATTAATTCCAACTACCCTAAGATTCTTTTCAAAATTGCTTTAGATGGAAATAAAGATGATAGGTTGAAAGGATGGAAGAGGCAAGGTTTAGACATTGAAGAATTGAAATCATCCTCCTTGCCCTGAGCTACTTCAAACAAAAGCTGTTTGGGGAATGCATAATTGGATCCCCAGTTCAAAACCTGCTTCAAACTTAAGAATGTAGCAGTGTTTCAGCTGGAAAACTAGTAATCCCAAGGGAATTAAAAGAATTTAACATAAAACTGTAAAAGTTGAAGTTTTGCTGGAGTAACTCAAGTAAAAGCTATGTTTTCCAAAAAAAAAAAGATAAGCAGAAACATTGCATGTGAGTTTCTTGAACGCTGAATGACAGAAGAAATGGAGTATATTTTAGTTGGTCTTACGGCAATAAAGAAAGTTGTTGCCTATGGACTACCTAGCAGAAGATCAGTTTTTTTTTTTTTAATTTAAAGTTTCAGGGTACATGTGCAGGATGTGCAGGTTTGTTACATAGGTAAACGTGTGCCATGTTTGTTTGCTGCACCCATCAACCCATTACCCAGGTATTAAGCCCCACGTGCATTAGCTATTTTTCCGGATGCTTTCCCTCCCTCACCCCGCACCACCCGTCCACCCCGCACAGGCCCCAATGTGTGTGGTTCCCCTCCCTATATCCATATGCTGTCATTGTTAAGGTCCCACTTATATAAGTGAGAGTATGCAGTGTTTGGTTTTCTGTTCCTTTGTTAGTTTGCTGAGGATAATGGCTTCCAGCTCTATCCATGTCCCTGCAAAGGACATGATCTTGTTCCTTTTTATGGTTGTATCATATTCCATGGTGTATATATGCCACTTTTTCTTTAACCAGTCTATCATTGATGGGCATTTGGGCTGATTCCAGAAAATCAGTTTTTAACTTTATTTGGTAATATACCCCACTACCTGCCTCAGGGAAATTCATCTAAGCCTGTTTCATTCACACTCACTAGTCATTGATTTGACTATTGTGGGCATTAGAAATTTCTCTGTTATTTCATTTCTAAAAATGTATCGGAAGTCGGACATCCAAAAACCAAACAATAATTTCGTTTATTTAACACATATTTCTCGAGAATTTTCTATGAACCAGGTATTAAGGTGCTAGGCAAACAAAAAAATGATTTCAGCCCTAAAGAAGTCACAGTCTTGGTGTGGTGTTTACAAAAATCAGTTACAGTGCACACTAGTGAACACTGTTAGAGAAACAAGACCCAAGCGGTGTGAGCACCAGGGAAAGGAAGGAAGGTGGCAAATCGTCTAAACAGGAAAATCTGACACTCAAGCTGTGCATGAATTTTCTTACTTTTAAGTATATTATATATGCATTGTTCTTACTCTTGGGTTATAGTCTTACTTTTGAGAAATGCCAGATATTCTCAGAATAACCACAACAGACACCGGGCACAGTAGCTCACACCTTTAATCCTAGCACTTTGGGAACCTGAGGTGGATGGATTACTTGAGGTCAGGAGTTCGAAACCAGTCTGGCCAACATGGTGAAACCCCGTCTCTATGAAAACTACAAAAATTAGCCAGGCATGGTGGTGCATGTCTGTAATCCCAGCTGCTCAGGAGGCTGAGGCAGGAAAATTGTTTGCACCCGGGAGGCCCAGGTTGCAGTGAGCAGAGATTGCACCACTGCACTCCAGCCTGGGCAACAGAGACTCCATCTCAAAAAAAAAAAGTTATAATCACAACAGAGTCAACCTGGCAAGAAATGGAAATTTCCGCATTCTATTGTATTTGCCATGCTTAACTGTTGCCTTTCAGTTCATTCTGATGTTGGTATAAAGCACTAGCCCAAAGAATAGTGCTTCGGGCCCATATTTTCTCAGTTGATGTATAGTAATTCGCTTGTGATTTGTGATCTCTCTCTAGAATTCTCATATAGCGAGAAGGCACATAGTCAACTGAAATACTAAAACCAAAAGATTAAATTGGACTTTTAAAATGACCCAAAGATTAGGGATAAGATCTGGTTCCGCTGAAGTATTTGTAGAACTAAGCCTTTCTTCTTACTTTTAACTCCGTGCTCTTTTGATAGCATTCTTTATTCTCGCCTGGTTTGGGGCACAAAGCGGCTGCATATCCAGTTAAGAGAGAACCAACCTAGGCTGATGGAGACAGTGGAGATAAACTCAGAAGCCACGTGCCAGATATGCATGGAGAGATGGGATGTGTAGACCTCCACTGGGCTGTCATCCCACAGCTCCCATTCATTCCTGAAATCTAAGCCTGGAGTCAGGCTAGAAGGCAGGTGGACAAGCCAGAGCTCACTCCCAGCAAGATCAAGAGACTTCTGCTTCCTTCATACTCAGTCTTCTTGAGGTAGCTTCAAGGAATTACCTGATTTCCCAAGTGTGAGTCTAAGGAATTAAAATACAGTGTGAGATATATATACACACACACACACACACACACACACACACACACACACACATATATATGGAGAGAGAGAGAGAGAGACAGCTAGAGTGCAGTGGCACAATCAGCTCACTGCAGCCTCAATTCAAGCAATCCTGCCTCAGCCTTCTGCGTAGCTGGGACTATAGGCATGTGCCAACATGGACAGCTATTTTTATTTTTGCAGAGATAGGGTCTCACTATATTTCCCAGGCTTATGATTTTATATTATGATCTTCCTCTTCCTCTTCCTCTTCCCTCTATTTCAGGGGTCTCCAACCCCTAGACCACAGGCCAACACCAGTCCATGGCCTGTTGGCAACTGGGCCCTACAGCAAGAGGTGAGTGTCAGGTGAGCGAGCATTTCCACCTGAGCTCCACCTACCGTCAGCTCAGCAGCACTGGATTCTCATACAAGTGCTAACCCTATTGTGAACTTGCATACGAGGGATCTAGGTTGTGAGTTCCTTATGAGACTCTAATTAATGCCTGATGGATCTCAGGTGGAACAGTTTCATCTCGACATCATCCCCAAGTCCCTGCAAAAATTCTTTTTCATGAAACCAGTCCCTGGTGCCAAAAAGGTTGGGGACCACTGCTCCAGTTGGACTTAGTATATTGAGGAACTGACAGGGAGTCAAAGTTGGGGGGCCAGGCATGGTAGTGGCTCATACCTGTAATCTCAGCACTTAGGGAGGCCAACACGGTCGAATCACCTGAGGTCAGGAGTTTGAGACCAGCCTGGCCAACATGGTGAAACTCTGTCTCTACTAAAAATATGAAAAAATTAGCCAGACATGGAGCTGCGTGCCTGTAATCCCAGCTATTTGGGAGGCTGAGGCTGGAGAATTTCCTGAACCCGAGAGGCAGAGGTTGCAGTGAGCCGAGAATGCACCATTGCACTCCAGGCTGGGCAGCTGAGCAAGACTTAATCTCAAAGAAAAAAAAAAAGTGAGGAAAGTATATATTTTTTAAACCATTAGGTAATACCTAGTAAGTCTCTTGATTGAATAACCACATCTTTACATGAAGGTAAAACCCCTAGCAGACTGTCAGAAATCTAATTTACCACCATGGGTCACTTTGCTCTTATATCAGAAAGGGAGAGTGAGGGGAAAGGGAAGATATCCTTTGATTTTTGTAGCTGTAAGTTCATAATGGTACCCATGTTGTGATGTGCATTCATTTGCATGGTGATCACACTATGAATTTCTTCCAATGATGTGCTAAAGGTGTCAGGGACGGTATTCAGTTTAGGGAATCCAAACAAGCCAGGGACATGACCTGGGTCTGACAGCCACTCTTTTTCAAGGCTGAGAACTATAATCACAACTGAAAGCTGAAGAGCTAGACATGGTTCAGAAAAAAGAACAAGAGACACACCCAGCCTGTGAGATTAGGCAAGACAAGCAAAAGCATCTCCAAGGCTGTTATTGCCTCAGGCCTGTGATTTATGAGTAAGAAATCATAAAATCAATTTTACTATAATGCAGAAAGATGAGATGACACACAAATTCACTATACTCTGGATAAAGCTATATTTCAAATCCCTGAAGCTGAGATGTATTTATATAATAACACGAGAAATGTATTCCTTATTCCACTCACAAGTAGAATAGCATGTAGGGTTTTAATTGATTAGATTTCTCAAGAGAGCCATGTACTGAAAATTTCAAGAGGAAAAACAAATTAGCTGTTCCTTAAACATTATTCTTCCATGTTTAAAATATGCTCTTCTACTTCAGTCTCTTTATCCTGTTGCTCTTATCAGCC